ACGATATCCGCTCCCCTCTTTCCCTAATACTTTCCATCTTTCTTTTCGTTTTCTTTCTTGGTCTCTCTTTCTCGTTCTTTTCTATTTTGTTTTGTTTTTTTTTTTTTTTATTCTTTTCTGTTCTATATTACACTTCTTCTTTGTTTTTTTTTTTTTTTGCTTTCTTTGTTGCTTTGATTTTTGTCTTCTCCGTGTCGTTTTTTTTTCTATTTCTTTTATTCCTTCTATCTTCCTTCTTTTCTTCCTTTCTTGCTTCTTTCTATCTTACCGTCTATTTTCTCGCTAGGTCTACGTTGGTCTGATGCGGAAAATTGATTTTATTTCCTTTCGCTGATCCCCCGCCACTTTTCAGAGCTTATCGCGCCGTCTCGGGACCGGATAGGCAATTTCTTTGCTGCCCAAGAAAATTGGGCCACTGTTCTTCAAAATACGCGCGCGAAAATTTACGCGTGTATACGCGCGAAGCAACATCATATACAAACAATTATTTACACGAATAACAAAGATTCGTCAGATCTCAAGACGTGTGTAATTCGGCAAGCCACACCCTTTTCGCACAGAAGTGTCACTTCTGTAACAAGTACACATATACCGTTTGTGTTGGTACATTATATGGTGTGTGAGCGCATTGATATCTGCGCGCGTGTAAATTATTTTTCACGTAACAGCGAGCCCCGATCTAGGCTTAGGAAGCCATGCGCCACCGGATATGCATCCAAAGTATAAATATAATGCACTTCTTCCTCTCCTCGTCCTCCCTTCTCTATCATTTTCTCTCTCTTTCTCTCTCTCTCTCTTTCTTCTCTTTCTTTTTCTCTACTCTCGCCATTTTCGAGCGCGACAAAGGGAGGATTTGTCGCGAGGCGAAGCTCGACAAAACCTTATACCACCCTCTCCTCGGAGCGGCACCGACGCCTCGCCGAGCTTTCAGAATGTTATAAACGCGTGCGTGCACGTGCGATTCGTCAACGATGTAACGCCGTTCTTGCGAAGCACCATTGTCGGCGCTATACGGATTTTGTATTTCGTCGATTTTGTGTCATCGATCCGGCGCGATACGGCGTGTGTACTCACGAAAAAGCGAAGCAATTTAAGAAGAACAGACATATCCGTCTGATTCTTTTTTTTTTTTTTTTTTACTGTTGAGTTTTCCACCGCGACAAACATATTGTCTCCCTTGTATGCAATTAAACAAAAATTAATAAATGTGTTTTCTAAAATATTCTAATGTGTCGTACGCAAAGTTGATTTTTTTTCTCCCTTCAAATAACAGTACGATACGCAGCTGTTTTTGTTGTTGTACTTTTGTTTTATTACACCTTATTATAAGACCGGTCGAGAATCAACCATTTTTCGAGCGTCTCTCAACATTCTCATCGTCGTCGAGAAACATCGTCAACTAAGCTGATTCGCGGCAATTAATCTGCCTGCAAACGAGGGCATTTTCATTTTCGCTGATGCCCGCCCCCGCAGACCAGCAGAATAATAATCCATCTTAAATAACCCGCGGGCTGAAGAAGAGACGCTCCGGCAGCAGCACTCCTCGCCTCGCCTAAACGCCAGACGAAGCCTGAAGTAATCTCGACGAAGGATTCAATTACCGGGTGCGAGAGCGAGCGAGATTTAAAAACAGAAATTATGCTCGCCGTGACTCGTATTAGCGCGCGCGATCTCTCGCGCGTCCCTGTGCGAAAAAAGAACTGTTTTTTTTTTTTTTTTTTTTTTTTCACGCAACTTGAATCATTTTCAAATTCATTCCTGAGAGAAAAAAAACGTAGTTAAGTCTCCTATCGAGAAAGAATCGCGTCGATTACACCGGAATACAAATTTATTATTATAATAAAAACAAATTTTTATATTACGTTAATATTTTACAGTCGAAATCTATATTTTCAATAATCATTCGTCCGACTTCCTGAAATTTTTTTAATTTTTGTTTACGAAGAGAAAACTCTGATATCATAAATCTTTTTTCTCGCGAATGATCGTATCGTTTTTTCTTTTCTAACGGAATAATTAATCACACGCGCGCGCACATTTCACATATAATTATCTCAGAATACGCGTCAGCGACTGGCCGCGAGCGCGTTATACAATTATATTTCTTCCATTCGAAGCGTGTGCGAATATAAAAGAGCCGCGCTTATCAGCGTGGAAAGAGAAGCGCAATCGGGACGCGCAAAATGTACGAGTACGAGTCCGGAGTGGTTTGAATACAAATAGAGTAGCGGGGTGGAAGTGTTCTCCGATATATATAGATGGTGGTGGTAGTACGCGAAGTATAACCAGGGAGAAGTTGATATACCTTTGAAGAAGGGGACGCAGGACCTTTGAGAGGCTTATCCGCACGTCTGCCTCCGAATAGGACTCGCGGATCCGAATCACATCGCTGCGAATCCGTGTGTCCTCTTAGACCGGTCGGACATACAGACCGGACACAGGCAAATCATTTCCCCGTGCGAGCGCGCGGGAAGGAAAAAAGGGACGCGGTTAATCCGCGGACGCGCGGTGTCGGGCGTGGAGACCTCGTGTGCGTCTACCCTTTTCCCGAACTAATAATTGTATCATTCCGTTTCGCAACGTTTCTGTTTCCTATATGAAATTTCGAGCTTACTTAGTTGCATTTCTAAATATATTGCACGATATATTTAAAGTTTTTGCATTTTTTAAGTTCAAAATTTTATCTTACGATTCTAATTTGTACCGATCGAGTTCTAAATCTGAAATTCAAAGCTGTGCTTCATATTTATCGCTTTATCAAGTTCACATTACAAAGCTAAAACTAATTTAGATTGCGCGAAGTATACAATCAGAGGTCAGAGTCAGGGGTGTGTTTCGAACTTTATATTTTTTATATAGTTTTTCAAACGTTTTTTTGAAACTTTTAGTTTTCAAGTTCTGATATTCGATTTACATCCTCAAACTATGCGCTTTCATCGAACTATCGAAATCGGTAGACAGAGGCAACCGGGGAGATCCCGGCCTCGGCTGGAATGGGATACGGCTGAAGCGTGAAGAGGCCGTTATTGTGGGCGCTGGCGCGCGTCATTTGATCTGGCACAGAGTAGAGGAGGAAGAGGCCGCGGTTGGTGTGTGCACCATTTCCCAAGCGGTGACAGCGAATCGTCCCCTCTCTCTCTGGACCCACCTCTGGAGCCCCACGCGAACAGCGTGGCAGAAAGAGGGGGACCACTGGGTGGCAGTGTCGAAGTTGCATCGTAACCCTCTACCGGGAGGCAGGCTGGAATTTACCCCGCAGGGCCGGCCAACCTAATGGAAACAAGAAATTGCGGCAAACTGCGTTACCCACGCCTCGACGCCCTGTAAATATCGCGCCAACGACGCTGACGTTGGGGTTCACCGCCGGTGGCGCGGGACACCTCGCCTCTTTACTTGAGGTTCTCAAAGAGACGCCCCGGTTGGATGTCACACCGAGGGTCACCGAGGGTCGTCCTAAGTGATGCAAATTGTTTGTACAACAATTGCTCGCGCGTTATCGTCGGAAAGGATTTTCGTTGACGAATGGTAGCAAATAACTTCTGGAGAGAATGTTCAAAAGAAATGACAAAATTCAAAGTACATAAGTACATAAGTGCGCGCGCATAGAATTTATAATATGTAAAAAAACTAAATGTGTGCGAAACCAATAATATGTAACGAGAAAATAATGAGAATGTAAACGTTCGATTGATAAAATATAAAATAAGAATCCGGGTCGTCAGAATGCGTTTCGTGAAAGACGAAAGTGAACTTCGAAAAAATGGAGTATCTTTTCCCGGAAAAGGAAGACCACGTCAATCGCGTGTTTATCTAACATCTCTGGTAATCAAGTTATCGTTCGCTCGGCGCTGCTTTCTTTCCATTCGATTCGACGATTGTGAAGAGACGCGCGGCGATACTTTCGAGAAGATCGAGCACTCCCGATGCAATTTATCGCAACGACTCTCATCGGAGGAAATACCGCGTGTTTGCGAACGATGTTTTACTCGCGCCAACTAACGAAATCGATTCCTGTCGTTATGTAATCACCTGACAATGTAATCACAAGCGTAATTGACATATTATTTTCCTTCGATACAATAGCGAGAACAGAAAAAGCTATTGATTTGTCCGTTTGATCGGATATATATTTATTTACACGAGCGAGTATTTTATTTACAACCGAGGATTGGGCGACAAAATTTACGATCGATCCTCGAAACAAATTCTGAAAGTGTTCGATGACAATCGCATCGATCATTCCATCGAATGATAGTCACTATTTTAGTCGTGCCGAGAAACAATCCGATTAAGTTGACAATCTCGTCCACAATTACGAAGTTTGTTGCGCGCCGGCGAGAAGCCGGCGTGAGGGGACGGTGCCGGAGCAGAACAAGGAGGCAAAATCCATCTGGTGATTTCACAGGCAATTATGCCGCGTCGTCGTGGACGGGCGCGGGTGGCTTACTCTTATTTAACGCCAATGTGCGCGCGCGACGCACGCCTCGCCGACCACCGGCGCCAATCGCTCGCCGCCATCCCATTTGCGCGAAATTGTCAATGATAGAATAGCGCGAGATCGAAAACCCCGCATTCAGCAATCCCGCGCGCATCTTTCCCCGCGGCATTCTTCTTTTCTCCTCTTTCTCTCTCTCTCTCTCTTCCTCTCGTTCTTTTTCAACTCAAAAGCGCGGATTTTTTCTTTTATCTGTTCCAACCGCTATGAGAAATAGTTTTGCACATTTTTTTCGCGACATGTGAAATCTATAAAACAATCATTTTCAAACGTTCGAAAAAAATGTGGAGACCACTGACGAATGAAGATTTTGATTTTACTTGACGATCAAACAATCAGCATAATATAAATTTCTATATTTCTTCTCTCTCTCTCTTTTTTCTTTTAAATTTAATATCTTCCATTTTCAATTCTTTTTATATTTTTTATATCACTTTCTTTTAATTTCGCCAAGTTTTTTTGAAGGAGAACATATCCGTTTGAATTTACTCACCGTTTGATGTCCTATTGTTTGTTATTCTTCGAATTTCTCACTGCGCTGCTCAATTGTCGCCCCTTATGTTCATCGTAGAGTGTGGAGCGGGATTAGTTTATCCACAAAACAAAATGCGACATGTTTTTTCTTTATATCTTTGTGCTTGAACACCATCATATCCCTGTGCGCCTAGAATTCAGTTTCTTCCTTCTTTTGCAGAACGGCAATTTGTTGCCGGTGTGAAGTCAAGTTTTTCGAATGTCGACTGTGCCAATAGAATTAGCGCGGCGAGAAGCGGTAATCAGGAATAAAAATGCGTCAACCGGCGGTATTTACGCTAACTAATCTTCTTCGACGGGCGCGGAGAAGCGCTAACGGAGTTAGCCGCCTTCGTCGTCGCCCAACGGTTCTCTCTTCGTGTAGTTCGACCGTTGCTTGTTAGTCGGGTAATTGGCCATTTTTATGCTAAGCAGAGTTGTCGTCGTCGTTCTCGTCAACTTTTACTACTGCGAGCATTTTCTCCCGCATTGCGCATCTTTCTTCCAATTCGCGGCTCAATTTTACTTGTTTTCGATTATGTTTCACTCTACGAAGAAAGAATATAAAATATATTATTCACCGAAATAATATTAAAAAGTTACGTAATAATATTTCGTGTCAAAAGTACATGTGCAATTGTAGAGTGTAAATTTGAATCTCAGCGAATAAAAAAAAAATAACGGATCCAACGCCAAGTTTCGCCAGATAACATGGCGACATACGCCGCGATACAATCTCGCTTACACTATAAACTCATTATCTGCCGTTGCGCGATGCGCTTAACCTCAGTCGAGGCCCACTTTTCCCTCCCCTTAATTGGCATGAGTGCAGCGAGCGTAATCCGGATGCTCCGGTGCCGCGAAACTCCATCTTAACTCTCCTCAAGCTCTCCGACTTAGCGCCGCGGCAACTTTTCGTATTAATAATCGGTATAATAATTAGTATTTTCTCGAGCGACTTAGCAGGAAGGACGCGCCGGCGTCTCGACGCGTTTCGGGCATCGGGGGCTGGGAAGTTCGCCCAAGATCTTGATTTTAAGTTCGCCGGTGCGCAGGAGGCGCATATTTCACCGCGCTAATGTCCCGCCAGATAAACTACAATATTAGCTGCCTTCGCCCATGATTTAATTTAACTTTGCCCCGGCGCGACATCCGCTCTCCTGAGCTTGTGCCCGCGAGCTACCGCCGCGGTTCGCGTCAGGTATACATATATGCAAAGAGAAATCTCTATCGCGAAGTACGTTCGAGTAAATGCGGATTCTCGTCGAAGAAACATTGATTCTAGGCAAAAGCCTAAAGAACACGCGACAAAAAGTAAGCACGCGTGCCGGATTACGATGGGTTGTGTTAGTTTTCGGACGATTATTAAGCGTTACGTATAATTACATCATCATCATATCTACGGTTAACTAAACTTTATGTGATATTACATGTATACCTATCACATCTTTTTCAAGTGTTAAATTATTTATATATTGGAAGAGTAAACATCTCTTTGTTATCTTTTATCTTTAGATTTTATCTTTATTGTTTGTACATGTTGTAAAAAGATTCTTATAACTTTGTTTTGTATATAAAGAAAATTAATTTAATCAAGAATTCGCTCGTGAAAAAAAATTAATTTACTTGAATCGAACGACTATTTTCCCAGAAGTTAAGCCAGTGTCGCTTTTTGATTTTTCACCACATCCTCTGAAGAGTTATGTTCTTTAGAAAGTCGAAAGTGTTTGTAGCTGCAATTTTTAAACAAATAAATTAAATTATTCTTCTTTCTTTCTTTTTTTTTTTTTATATAAATTTAGTTTCTTTATGTGCTACTTACATTTTATTGTATTTTAATATTTCCGCGGCGGACAAAGACGGCTCCGTTGATTCAACAGATTCCACGAGATGCATTTGCGTAACTCTGACATCGGTTGCCTCGGCCTTGCCATCCTGTACACAATTATAATAGAAACTCTTAAATTCTTAAAATATAACATATAAATTTTTAGTTTATCTTGCGACATGTTACGAAAGCTTAATGTTGCATGCTAATAATGTTGTCAAGTTGAATTATTTTACTATTGAAGTTAAGCGCAATACATCTTGTTTCGGAAGACATCTCACGTTTCTATCCATATATAATCGCTTATCACAGCAAAACGCGTCTATTTCGCCGTCTCTTACACATACATACATACATACATACACACACACACACATTCTCTCTCTTTCTCTCTTTTGATGCGTCGCGCTCTCTGGAAACTCACTCACTAATTAGACGCACAGTTTGGATACTCGCGTTCTTCCGGGAGGTAAGTGCCGCCGTATAACTTCGTTTTCTCCGATGCGAATTAATTAATAGCTTCCCGTGAAACGCGCGCCACTTGCCCCTCGTAAACTTCGAAGCGCTCTCTCGCGTAATCTTTTAACACATGTGTCTGATATAATCTGATTAATTAAATTAGTACATGCACACCATATGTACTAATGAATAGAATCATAATTTATATAATTTATGTAATTTATTACTTTTTCTTATTTAATGATAAATATATTCTTGGCAGTTTATATACAAAGTAGATATAAAAAAAGATACTTGTAACATATTGATGTCAGTATACAATCGCTTTCTCATACACATATTGTATAAACTACTAGAATAAGATAAATACAAACACAACATAAATGAACAGACGCGCGCGTCCGAAAGGTTAATAGCAGAAACATCGAAGACGTCTGAAAGCTAACGAGCGTTTTAACTAGCGGGATGGCTGTCTGGTTTTCGATCTTACGGGACCGCTGCGGGCCTTAAACCGTGTATCATTATAACGCATAAGATAATAACCCCCTCGACGTGCAGCGAGGCGTGGGGAAGACGGCACGGGGGATGAAGAGGAATGCCGAAGGGGATGGCTTGGTCGCTCGGCGCTCTCGGCACCATGTGCTAATAAACCCAGTCTACGTTTCCTCGGTTATATCGCGCGGCACCTACAACCTCTGCAGAACTCCCTTCGATCTTACTCCCACCTCTTTCCCTTCTACCATCCTTCAACTCGCACCCGGGCGCGCAACCCGTGTGTACACACCGTAGGGTGCACACCTAACGATATTATCGTCATTACGCACTATCTTACTTCGGAAGCTACCCTACAAATGATTCTCGAGAGAGCGAGAAGCGCTTTTCATTATGATGCTGCTTCGATACTACAGCAACAACAGCAGCAACAAAACGATTCGGCCATTAGCGATGCGATCTCCCGCTCTTATACAAAAGTCCGAGTCAATAGAACGGTCTGAAAGTCATCATTTACAAACTGGGAGCGACTGAAAGAAAAAGTTTGCTAGGTATTTTATCACAACTCTTGCTGTATTTACCTAGGACACATCCGCGATATCTGTATATTTGTATACTCGAATCACCTTTGGTTTTGTCGGAAGTAAGTTATTTTCAAGACAAAACATAGGAAGAGTGTGACGGTAAAAATGTTTTTAAGTTTTATGAATATTTGAATTTTTTTCGAGTAATTTAAATATTAATAGAGTTTAATGTTGATTATATGTAATTTCGTGTATCGCAGTTTACATTCTATCATTATAATTGAGAGTGCGAAAATTAATTATGTTAAAACTTACAGTTTTTGTTTGCAAAACATGTTCAAATACTGACAGTCTCGCCATAGTAACTGCCGCATTAATATCAGCTCCTGTAAATCCAACAGAAAGTTGAGCCAATTCTTTTAGATTCAATTCCGCTGTATCGATATTTTGCGCGCGAGACAATACTTCGAAGATCGCCTCTCTTTCCATCTGCAAAGAAACAAAATCAATTAATTGGTGTTAAATATTGCATTATCTTTAGTGTTATCAACGTAGTTTAACGTACTATTTGATTTTTTTTTATTATTTCCAAAACTGTTAGAGAAAAAATTGTCGAGAAATAATTGTCGCCATAGAACAAAGTTAAAAACTTGTCATAAATATATTAACCTCATTCGGCAAAGGGCAGTGCAAACACTTGTCGAGACGTCCTGGTCGCAATAGAGCCGGATCCAACAAGTCTGGTCTTGAAGACGCTGCCACCACCGCCACTCCTTCGCGATCTTCAACTCCGTCAAGTTGTGTTAGTAGCTGGTTCACCACCCGATCGGTGACTCCGGTACTATCGTGTCCACGTCTAATTTAAAATAACAATAAGTACTTATAATATCTCTTTGACAAAAAAATAAGAAGAAACATTAATAATGTGAAGTTAATGAAAACATTAATAATGTGTCAAAAAAATATCTATACTAAAAATATGCAGTTGTTGAATTTGATTAAACAAAACATTAAAATAAATGAATGGTGAAATATATAGTTTTGAATCTCTCGAAATGTGAATTGGAATTTTTGTTGAAGATAACAGATATGAAGAACGACAGAAGAAAGAAAGGTAAGAAACGTAGATAAAACCACGATAAAACTATATCTTGCGCATATACACCTTATCTTATTTTTCTAACTAATTCTTTTTTATCTCCATGTTTATTTTACCTCACATATACTTCGTTTTTAAATGGTCCACGACACAATGTCTAACGTTAAAAAGTGATATTGGGATGATTTTTAGATAAAAAATGGAAAATCAAATAAGCGATATCATTTGCTTATTGATTACTCACCTGGGCGCTAGACTATCAAACTCGTCGAAGAACAGTACACATGGTTTGGCTCGACGTGCTCTATCGAGAAAAGATATATTTATATTTAAAAAAAAACTACAAATGAGAACACAAATATATGTAAAATCTTTAAGTAAATAAAATATAAAGCAAAATAATTCTGTAAATTCTTTTGCTGGAAGCAAAAGAGTAAGTTTATATTATACATACGCACCTTTCAAATACATTTCTTACAGATTCCTCGCTAACACCTATGTATTTTGAGAGCAATTCCGGACCCTGTAACAAAATTCATCAGTGTTTAGAAAAATGAAAAGAAAAATTAATCATAATTAAAATTATTTTTTTTAAGCATCACAACCTTAATACTGATCAGATTTACGCCACATTCACCGGCGATCGCTTTGGCGAGCATTGTCTTGCCGGTACCGGGCATTCCGTATAACAATACGCCACTCTGAAGTTTTATCGGTGCATTTTTGAAGATCTCCGGATACTTAAGCGGCCACTGTAGAATTTCCGTGAGAGAACGCTTTGTCTCTGCCAAACCACCGATATCAGACCAGGAATGATCGCCGCTCTTGTACAACTGTACGCCCTGCAGAGACATGGGTGTATAATCTTCTAACGCCGTGTTAACATCCTCTTCCGTCACGATAATTGGTGGTTTCAACTTCTCCGCCACTTGGAACGAACAGAACATGAAATGTATAACTCGAAATTGAATATCACAGAGAGATATAGTACAATATAAAATTATACTAAACGAAAAACTAAAAGATTATGCAAAAAATTTTGTTCAATGAACATTATTTTTAAGAATATATACAGATATGAGATAAAAAATTAACAAATCAAACGAGATAAATTTTCTCGATACAAAAAAATCTTTGTTGCCGAAGCTTCGCGATTTGATTGTTGTTTAATACTACGAAGAACATTCGAGAAGCAACTACAAACAGTATTACGCGATGTTGCGTTGTTTCTCATGTTGCCACCTTTTCTGTTCTGAGGCAATTGTTGTGTTTAAAATTACAAGTGTGATCTATTGATATTTTTCCTTCTCTTACCGTGACGCTTCCACGCGACAAATTTTGCTCTCTCCGCCAGATCGACGAGATCCTGAGGCATCCAGCCCTCAGTCTTGTTTCCATAGTAATTCCAATTCATGTCTCCGTGCACGCGTAACTTGTCCTCGAGCGTTAATCGCAAAATATCGATTCTATCCACCTGGTTAGTCACGACATGCGTTAACGATATATGCAGAAATTAACGAGCGAACATTCTAACTTAGGCGGCAATAAGGAAGTTTGATCGGGATATGCAAACGGGCGTTCGTCACAAAACCCACAGACAAACAATTGAAAATATCGCCGAGAAACTCGAATTAAATCAGTGAAAACAACATAAAAAACAAAAATATTTATTTTTATTTATTTATTGTTGTTTGTTATCAAAAGATTGTACCTTTTCGAGAATAGGAACGTTCAAAACTGTTCTGAAAAATTGTGCCCCTCTCGCCGGTCGCAATTTCGAACCTATTTTGTTTACACCAACACAAGTGGCAACGATCGAAATATAATGAAATCTTTGATACTCTGTGATAGTTGTAAGCAGCATATCGGTAATTCTGAAAAGTCAATTTCAGATCCTGAATTGAAAGATTTCGTCGATCACCATTTCTAGCATATTTTACCTTTTTTTTTTACATTGACGGATAACATTGAGAGAAATGTAATTTAAATGGTTAAAAAGTTGTCTTTTCATTCGGTATACAATTGTGTCACTCTTAAAGAATAATGCGTATTTATGTACCTGGAAGCATTCGTCGCATCTATCGTATTCTCCTCGTCGTTCAACGACGCATTGGTAATACTCTCCAAATCGTCCAGAAACAGTATGGACGGTTGATAATATACGCATTCATTTATAGCGGACGTGATGATCTTCTGCATCGCTTCAACTTTCTTACCTAATCAATGACTACTATGATTAACAAAATACTTGATAAATTATGTGTCGTGATTATTTGAAATGCTGTCACCGTTTTTACCTTTCAACGATCTGCAATCGATCGTATGCGTGTGCACAAAATACGGCTCCTTTTGATAGCGCTCGATTAACATCCTGCAGATAGTCGTTTTGCCCGAACCGAGATTACCGCAGATCAGAATATTTTCCCGATCGTATCGGAAGTTCGTCGGTCTCAAACCTAAACTGAGATCGAGCGAAATCTTGCAGTCTTCGAGAATATTCTCAATATATCTGTAATTGTGACAAAATTAATGAGGTTTGACTGTAATTAAGCGTGTATCTTATTATTATTTACCTCACAGAAAGTGTCTTCAGTTTTAGACTTGTTTTAAAAGAATTTTCCGAAATTTCCGAATCGCTCGGCAAGACAGATCGAATGTGAACAATAATGTTTTTCATATCCGTTTCATCGATCATCGCGCAATCGCATTCGGACGGTGACATTTGTACGACGCATCGTTTACCGTCGTCGAGCAAAATTGTTGAACACGAGTTGAGCAATAACACTTCGTGTTTCGAATGGAACTTCACGTAATTTTCGAACATCTTTGTCGTAACCGACTGATCGGAGGGAAAAATATTCACCGATAACGGTTTCGGCCATTCGCTTTCCTTTGCCGTCGTTCGCAAAATCACTCTGCTTCCGGTTTTCAGCTTCAAAGTGTTCCTCATACTCGCCGACGCGTACACGCAAGAATGAATCGAATTCAAAACGAAATAATTTCTGTTCAAAGTCGCGGAACACTTTTCTAAGATGTCTTCAAGAACGTAAAGTTTTACGGTAAGTTCTTGCGGAGATTTTGGAAAGGAAGAAGATCCTTCGTCCTTTAAGAAACTTGTATCGGTGATGTTAACATGTTGCCGATCCTCTGGTACTTTTCTGATTTTACCTGCGAAGGAAGTTACTTAAACTCTACTAAAACCAAATATAGTTTATCTACAAATCTAATTTTTCACAAATAAAAAACTAGAAAAATCGCAACAGTTCTTGATTAAACTTTTCGGGACCGAAACTGTTTCCTTGACTCAACTTTTCCCTGTTTTGCTCCACTCTTTGGTACGAGTTGCGCGACATTTTACCGCGCATATGTATAATTATCAATCAGTAACTGACTAGTAATTTAACAAAAAACAAAAAGCTGGCTTGTAATAGGGTGGCAATACAAAGGGAGAGAATTTGACCGAAGTCATTGGTGTTTACTCAAAAGAAGTTGAGTCAAGGAAAACAAAATTGAACAAAATTTCTTCTAATTAGCCATCGATAAAAATTTACACATTGTCGGTCCACTCGTCGATGTTACATCCTTCGGTAAACACTTCCTCGGAATCAATACGTGATAGGGACACCGCAGAATCATGTCGTGAGCGTTAAATTGATCGAAGGACGAGAATTCCGGCAAAGGATATACGCGAAACACATGAGGTGCGCTTCTTTCGCGAAAACTCTGCAACAACGCATAGTTCGCGGCACCGTTCTTCGGATCGCGACGATCCTTCCCTTTCGAGAAGTAAGACAAGATTTGACTCAAAGAACTATTTATTTCACTAGACTTCTCGTTTTTTATCGTCGCATTTTCGGCTGCGTCGAGCACGTGCATCTCCGTGAATTGTTTGAGCAATCCGTATGTGAACTTCGGCTCTGTATCTTCTGCAAGGATCGCAAAACAAATATTTTTTTTAAACAATAATATTAAAAGAGTAAAATAAAAAAAGAGCTTTAACATTGTTCGGCAAAATATTCTCCGTAATAGATATAAAAAAAAAAAAAAACCAAACAAACTTGCCTACGGTAAAAGTTACAGAAGAAAACTTCGAAATCCACGCCACGATTGGCTGTCCTTTCGCGACGATTCTCACTTGATTCAAAAGATTCGATTGCACCTTTCCCATTTGCAATTCCTATCACGAAAATATGATTTAATTAATTAATTAATTAATTCAGTCGGTAAAATCAGCACAGCTAACGAGTTTGAATTTTCGTACCAAAAGTTCACGATCGCTAGTCGTGCGAGGGACAATTTGAACGCTGCTCAACGAAGGCGCATTTTTCAGAGAGGACACGAACACCTCGTCGCCCTCTTGTATGTGCAAATTTTTTGCAAAAGTCGCACCGATGTGCAACGTTTCATTGCCACTAACGCGAGGGACGCAGGAAAGATAATATACCCTTCCATTATGCAACACTTCAATCGCGTTCTCCTGCAATCAAGTGTTTGTTAATTAGTAGATCAGGTTTTTATCGATCGTCGGTTTTTATCGTCAAATGATAAAAGAAAATCAAAAACTCTTCGAATCTTATTTTGTTACACTTGAAGTAAAAAAATAAGTAACAAACAGAAACAATGACAAAAATTAAATAAAAGAAATGCAAGAAACTTGGATAATTATTTATAGTAATTGTTTTGTTTACAAAATAGTATTTACAGTTACGCTCGTAGGGAGCGTTACTGTGGCTCGAAGATGGCGTACGTGGATCACGTGACGGTTTATTTTGGTGAGAAAAGAAGGAATCAATTGTGTATTATGTAAAATTGCGAGAGAACCAACCTCAGTTTCTGAACGACGCAACCAGGTGGTCGACAGCTGTGCGAAGCAATTGTTCGCCGGAACGTACTTGACGACGAGACGTTCGCGTTGCATTTTTTGGCGCACGCGACACGGCCATGAAAATCAACGAAATACAATTTTTGTAAAACTCGCACGATAAACACACGTCCCGGTGAGGAAATGAACCTTACACTTAAGCGCTCGTTGTAATTACGCTGTATCGGCCGCTCGACTGAAAACGCAAATGCGACGTAGTCAAAGTGGCGCAATTCCCAATCATGTCGCTGATTAACGTCATGAAAGATAAACAAATTACCATAAAAAAGAAGATGCGTGTATAAATGTTTTTTTGTTTGGCTAGTGTCAGTTTGAGATGCGACTGTAAAGTCAACGTCGAATATGTATACAAAAATTAGGTCAAATATAATTTTTCACACAATGAATTAAAAAATTATAAATAAAATAAATTTAAATGAAAGTTTTTGGAAACATCGGAGCACGTTAAGAATCACCTGTAGTTAAATCGAGATTTGTTTATTGGAAGTAAATCTTACAGATATATATATACAAGGTGTGTAAAGAGGAAGAAGGATCGAAACTGAATATTTCTCTCTCGCGTTTGTTTTAACCTTAAGCTTGGCGACGGGGTTCACATGAGACATTTACAGAACGGAATCGTCGTTGTTGGTTTGATTCTCTAATAAATCTCGTTCCACAAAAGTGGAGAAGCAATTGGTTGATCTCCCGTCATCAAATTTTTACTCGTTCTGATTTTTCGACTTGAATGACAGCAGCTTCTAGTCTTCCTTACGTAAAAATTGAAATAAAAATTAATGCGACATGTGTGTTCAGGTCTTCGGCCGGTTTCCATAAAACCTTAGTCGGTGTGCGATTGGTCGAGCGCTGCGTTGTGTATTGGCCAATAGACGCGTAGCGAGCAGCTGTAACTGTGAGTTTGAATTCAACTTCGTCGTCGCGTGAAGTTCGGTTTGCGTCCGATCAGGCGGTCGACGTGACGCGACCGTCCGAAGTACTAGGTGAGCGAACGAGCGGCATGCGAGGATCTGATGAATAACGGCCTTTCTACCGTCTACACGGCACGAGACTTGATCACAATCAGGTGCGTAACATCACTTCCAATCTATGTCCCGATGACCGCATCGTGATCTGTTGATAGACCACCACCATATTGCCTGTCGCCGAATAAACATTTTTCTTCGCGACCTTCACCACCGGGATCGGTGATGTGCATCGGTGAATTATTTGGTTAAACAATACGATTTCGATTCACCGGATAGTCGAGGATGATGAGATAATTTTTCGCATCCATCGTGACATCATTTTTCTAACCACACGCGGCGAATGCCCGGCAAGTTCCCGCGTTTTCTTCGCGCTCCCTTGGAGCAGTAAGTTCGCTCGCAAAAAATGTAAAAAACACATGATTTATCACTGAAAATAATGTAAAATTGTATGTTGGTGGATAACCAAATAGTTTCGCGTTATTTTGAACGCGAATTGAACGATTTTCGCGGTACAGTTTGTAGTAGAACATATTGTGTGTATATTGACAATCTTCTATGTTTACGAAAAAAATCGATACCGTGAATCAGTTTCACAAAAACTGTTGAATTATTGAATCGAGTATATGTTAAGAATTGTCTCGGAATTGTTAGTCTCATTCGTGTGCTATTGCACTTCAATGATTTTTCTTAATGTACATATTTTTTGAAATTCTTATTTTAATAATTTTCTTTTTGTTAAACTATGAATTGTAGGAATTTGTACATAGAAGCATTAAATTGTCATTGCATCATAAATGGCACCACCAAAAGTACTTGGACAGAACAGACAGACCAGTACGGCTGCTTTGAGAACAGGAGTAACAACCAGGAGACAGAATGCTGTACTGAACAATTTATTAAAACAGCCCAATGTCAGAGATACTCGGTCCAAAAGAAAAGCGGAGGCTTCGCCTCTGAAAGAAAAGACTGCCAAGAGATCTGCCTTCGCAAATATCACTAATGTACGTAGTCCATATTCTTAAACTCTTATTCCCAAAAAATTGCAAGGTAAATTTCAATTAAATTTGGTTAGTTTACTATTAGGTGGTCTGCATTGAAATTTAGAAACATAAAAAAAAGTTTACAATGAAAACATAAAGTGTCAGTACGTAAGCTTTACACAAGGATAAACTCGTGTTTTCTCTATTTTGTGTTTCTTGTCATTTATCAGGCCATTACGACGTTAGGAGGACAAAGTCATGTGCTAAAAAAGACAATTACTCAAGCTAAACAACATGACAATAAAAAATCAGGAAGTAACATTGCTGTTAACAAACCTGGAAGCATTGTTAAACCTATATTGACAAAATCAAAACCATCTCGAGTAAAACCCATTATTATCAAAGATCAAAAGAAGGTGGAAATATCTTCTAAGGTTGTAAAATGTATAGAGGTTAGACAGAGTATAGAGAGTGAGAAGTCAGACGGCTCGCTCTACATCAGTGCCTTGGAAGACATAACGGATAGCATAAGATTCTCGGGTATAAGCAGTACAGTCACTAAGGTAAAAACATTTTGTGTAGTGTAAATATAACATCTACTTTGCCTTTTTTTTCTGAATTTCAACGAAACAATTTTAATCGCGTAGTACTCTTATTCATTATATGTATTTAGTAAATCGGTTTCTCAAGAGAAATTTTGACATTTATAATTAGCAAAGAGAAATTATTTAAAATATAAAACAGACTTGAGGTGTACAGGAACATGATAAAAACGAAACAGAGAAGGAGGAAAATATCGAGAATAAGGAAAATGTGTGCGAGACAAAACCTGAGGAAAATGATAAAAACAACGTGTCTTTCGTGGAGGAGAAGAAAGTCTCTGCCACTACCTTGATGATGGTGCCTCAGAGAAAACTACCAGAGGGTGTGCAGTGGGACTTCGACGTTGAAAATTGGCTCGATCCGTTTCAAGTGTCGCATTACGCGATGGATATTTTCGAGTATCTGAAAAGTCGAGAAAGTTTGTTTACGATCAGCAATTATATGGAACGACAAGTTAGTCTCTCTCAATGGATGAGAGCCTTGCTTGTCGATTGGATGGTCGAGGTGCAAGAATCGTTCGAGCTCAATCATGAGACTTTGTATTTGGCCGTGAAATTAGTCGATCTATATCTAACAAAAGTAACAGTCAGCAAAGAAACCCTGCAATTGCTGGGCGCTGCCAGTCTCTTTATAGCATGTAAATTTGATGTAAGTTTTATTTACATTCCCATCGTTTAACTTGTACGGATTGATTTTTGTTCGATAAAATTTTTATCTATTGAATATATTATACAAATTTGTTCTTGACTTTGACTCCAGGAAAGGATACCACCGATGGTAGAAGATTTTTTGTACATATGTGATGGCGCTTATTCTCAGAGAGAACTAATTAGAATGGAAATAAGTGTCTTAAAAGTAGTCAATTTCGATCTAGGAATACCACTATCTTATAGATTTCTTCGGCGTTACGCTAGGGTAAGCAAGAGAATTATTGAATTTACATCGAATTTTTACAAATGTGTTTTCAATACGAATTGCTACTGATTCAATTGTTTAAAACTAGTGTGCAAAAGTGTCTATGTCTACGTTAACTTTGGCTCGGTTTATATTGGAACACTCGCTGATGGATTATTCGATGATTACGTTCAGCGATAGCAAAATGGCGGCAGCGGCACTATTACTAGCGATGCTAATGAAAGATTTAGGGGGATGGACTCCGACACTAGAATATTATAGTGGCTATAAACTCGAAGACATAAGAGATATTTGCCATCTCTTGAATCATAGTTTACATAAGAAACAAAAGGACTCTTTGATGACCGTCCGAAACAAATACAGTCACCCGTAAGTACTTGAAAATTTTTTTCTCTATAATTCAAATTTTTTTATTTGAAAACTTGGTTTTATTTTAGTTTAGTTCATTTAGTTATGCGAATTAGTGGTCAAGATATATCGTGTTGCGATTGTGTTCAAATGATGTATTGAATGTTTCTTACGATGCAAACTCTTCTTTATTTTAACGCTACAGAATAGAGAAGTTATTTCCGATCACATATGCGATATTATTATCTCGATTTTATGTTTTTTTATATATATATATTATGTGTCAAGAATCTATCTCTTACGTGAGAAAGATTATTATACACGTCATCTTGTCTGCATTTTAGGGTTTTCCACGAAGTAGCAAAGCTGCCTCTAAAAGAAACTTTAGATATATAGGTAATATATTAAAACTAAAATAATAAAAATAATTCCTTTATAAGAAAAGTATTTGAAATTACAAAACACCGATACACACATATGGCTTATTTTGACAAAACGCAGAATGAAAACCAAAATCGAAAGTCGCGCCAATTTTTATTAGATCGATTTAGTCGCTAATTGAAGTAAATGGGTATATGCGAATAAACGATAACATTGCTCTCTAAACTGTGAACGTGCGTTGACGATGATGATGGAAACGTGAAAAAATTTCGAATGTTACATTTAATGGTCATTATTTTGATATCAGCATGTATATCGGAAACATGATCTTTACTAGTATTTTTTATCATTAGTATTATTATTGAAATCCAAATAAATGTCGGTGTAATGCGTCATTTCGCCGTCTGCGCTGAGCGAAAGTGGTGGTAAAAGATAGAGAAAAAGAAGGAAAAAAAAACAAAGACGCTATTCAGAATGTGTATTGTACATTAGAAGAACTTGAAACTTCAAGATTTTAGTTATTTTTATTTAAGTCAATTAGAAAATTTTATCAATTTCAAAGATTTCTGAGAATTATGCAATAATGTTTATGGAATAAAACACTATAATTTCATCCACTTGGAACTTGGAACAAAAATAACGAGTTATAAAGAATTTTTTTTGGAAATCTACTCCATTTAAACACCAATTGTGTACATTTCTTTTCACTATTAATCTTTGCCGAATATTCACAGTGACGCATTATATCGGCACTTATTCTCTAAAGGGATTTGCACTTATTAGTAATATATACATATATATTTATACTTATAACGCGCGGTAATCTTTATACTACTTTACATTTTCTCAATTATTTATAGGCTATTTTATATATATACTTTTTTCTTTTTTTTTTTTTTTTATCAAAAATTTATTTTAGCACCACGCCTTTTTTGCACCTTGCAAAATAAATTTTAAATCGACTCGACGACAAGTTCCTCCAACATACGAGATAGACTGCAAAAAAACTAACGCACATGGTCGGATTTACCGAGAAAGAATTTATGTATGTATTTAAAGAATAAGTCAAAAAATAAATGTTATTTTGTTAAATTTATAGTTTTTGAGACTTTTTGGTTTTTTTTGTCACTTGGCGGAAATATAAACTTCCTTTCAAACTGAGCTAAGAAATGCAAATTACGTACTACAGCAAGATCTTTCATTCACAATATTCCGCTTTGATCCATAAAAACCTGGACTTTTGCATTTACAAACTTTATCTATGTCTACTACTTTTTTATCTACTTCTACTATCTTTTTCATAATCTACTATACTATCTTTTTCGTACTTTACTACACACTTTGGGAATAACCGATTTTTTTTTTTATCGTTTTTTTAACTTTTCTAAACAATCTCGAAAAAAACACGGTGATAAGTTTTCGTTATGTTCTTTATCATTTACATAATAATATTCTCAATCTTCTACAATATACGAGTTGTTTTTTTGTATGTCTATTGATTATATGACGTTATTGTTCACACAAATCGAGTTGACACATTCTAAAATTACCAATGTTTCAGGGATTTGATAGAGTCGCTCTTCGAACGAGTGTGCTCGTAAACATTTGTTTCTCAAAATAACGATTGTGTGTGTTGTTTTTTATAGTCTATTCTCGTAATTGTACTAATCAGTTAAATACAATGTGTTTTTTTGTAACTGAAAATACTTTCATAACACTTCCGATTATCTACCGATAATGTAATATGATGACATGGGTACGTCTATTTCGAACTCTTACAATTTTTTGCTCAAGGTGTGTTATCATACGAAGGATGCGTTTGCTTTGGACGCTTACACGCGCGCTGTGAGCGTAGGTCTATCTGTGTTCTTTCTTTGTTTTTGCATTTAAAGAACAATAAAAAGACAGACTGATGTTTTTTTAAAGCGAACGCACCCGAGGAGTGGTGCGTTGTTATGTATCGTTGTTGCGTTTTATGTAAACTTATGGTAATGAAATCCAAATCGCTGGAATATATACATTGTTTCTAATTATTATGCAAATGATATTCAAGATTTTTATTGCAGATAAAACTTATCCAAAGGTAAAATTTAATTGAGAACATTTCTATGCTCAATGTTTTATTCAGAGAGTGAACTATATTTAAATCGTTCAAAAATTGAGCTGTACAATATTTTGACAATTTAAAAACTCTTGTTTTTGATATACTTAACTTAGTGAGAGAATTCTCTTTTCTATTGAAAATCGCGATTGTTGAGCTTCTACGTGACAAATAACTGTGACACCACCAAATTGTAACTGATTTACACAGCGTGTGCCTTTTTCCAAAAATGTAAGCACCGTTTAAAGTAAAGCTGCTTTTGTGATTTGTCTTGAAGATGCAATGAAAATATGACGGTATCTTAATTTTAAACGGTGTTAGTGTCTGAGAGTTATATATACATGACTATTTAAAAGATCTGATGTTTCCAGAGACGCAATATAATTTATATTTAAATGACATTAGTTCTCTCTCCCTCGAAAGAAAATCAATAGAAAATGAACAAAATCACCTGTGATATCGCTTGTGTCATAAAATCAAAACGACAATTGCGTGAGTGTCAAATTTTTTTTTTTTTTTTTTTTTTTTTTTTTTTTTTTATACTATCTTCTACAGGGTGGCTACAAAATCTTATTAACATTTCTTATGAAATAAAAAAACAAATTTATAAATATGACGTGGCATGTGTGAATAAAATAAATTCATTATTGTGCGCTTTTTGAACCTGTAATTTCGCCCGTTGCAGTGATTTTCTAAATATATTTATTTTCAATATGTAAATCAAATCTCCAGATTTTTTCAGCATTTTTAAAAGATGAACAAACATAAGCATACAGTATTTCTTGAAATTAATTCAACGATATATTTTGTTTTTTTGTGAAATTATCGTGAAAAACGTTACAAAGATAAAACAAATAATTATTTTACAGGCAAGTAAATTATTATATATGAATATTGTCTTGTACATAAAACTAATATCTATAGAAACAGGAATAAGATTTAGTTCGACAGAAATTTTGTGACTACCCTGTGTATAAGACATTCATTAATTATGTACAGTATTTATATATATATATATATATATACACACACACACATATACAATGGTTTTTGGCAAGAATATAAATGTAATGCGCACTTTTGAAACGTGTCGGTAGATCTTTAGTTACCTCAGAAACGAGAGAATATGAATGAGTTAAATTACAAATATTATGTGTACATACATTCGAGATTTTCAGATTTGCAGATGTGTACATAATATATATATATATGTATATACACACATATATATATATATAAATCCGTTTAATTAATTACTTAAGGCACAAAAAAGTTTGGAAAGAATTTATGAGCATATGTGTAAGAACGCATGCAAGATTAAAATTTGCCCTAAAAATTGAGGCTCTAGTTGTATATAAGTAATGATATATTTTCTGTCAATGAATCCCTATTGCGTTTATATTATTCTAAAGTATATGTGTGTAACCATGTGCGCTATAAACGAGATGTAACTTAATAAAAATTATAACAACACATATATATACTGCATATGTATTTGTCTTGTGATTTTTTCCGAACTTAGCTAGCAGAGAAAAAGAAACAAAATCTTTCGGATTTGTAGCACAATTAAAAATATAGAGTTAAATAGTAGAGAACAAATTTAAATTCCAAGATGAAAATATATAAGTAAAATTAAAGAATGTTTTATTTATAGTTTGTTTGGTTAAATGTGTCGAGGGAAAATATAACAACACAAAACTTCTAACAAAATTTTCTTTCGGAAAATCTTTTTTATTGTTAATTTACTGTGCTTCAACAGTGTATACGTTTTTATAAATAAACAATAAATATATACTTATGAGATTTAAATATCGGTAAAAATCAGGTACGCACTTATTAGAATTAGAATTGTTAGATTTGATCTTTACATATCGGAAAAGCGAGGTTTTATGCTATTTGTGATAATTGACAATATTGATTTTGTGTTCTTATTGCTTATAAAACGGTTACAAGAAAATTAATATTTGTTCGTGTTAAATGTTCACTTTATATTCTTGAATTAAAAAACACGTAAAATTATTTTTAAAACTTCTCCGTCCAAATTCATTTAAAAAAAGGCTATCTAACTATCACAAATGTTTCAAGAAACACCAGATATATATGAACCAAATGTGTTATACTTAATGGAAAAAAATGTGCAAGTATACTTTTTTTTGCTAATTGATTCTGAAGAAAGTTTCCATTTTATTGACATAGCGAATTGTTTTAATATATTAATTACATTTTGAATAAGTTTTTTATAGAAAGAAATCAACATATTTCACACGTACATTTTTAAATAGTATCTAAAGAATGCGTCTTGTAAACGTTCATATATATTATCCAGGTCTCCCCAAAAAACTTGAAATCCGACGTGTGTATTATCACAATGCTTCAGTCTTCGCTATGATTTTACGTCTCGTTTGTTTGACACTTCGTTTTCCGAGACCGAGGCACAAGTACTATTCTCATTAGAGACTATAGGCCTCTATTGTTACTAAAATTCATTATACGAACTAATTTAAACAGACGGTAATATTTTTTTTTTCAACTCTGTTCCTCCTACACATTGAATATATTGGATTATCCTGAACATTGCAAATCTATTTTTTTTTTTTTTTTTTTTTTTTTTTTTTTTTTTATCTTACTATAACGGAGTGTACGTATTCAGAAATCATTTGCTGCGTTCAGCAAATATAACAATCAAATAATAATCACTTGTAATAGGATTATTTTTGTCCATCGTAAAGCATTGATTACTTTTTGTAAAAAGAAAGTCTTTTCAACAGCTGGATTTCGATAACGCTTGATTAATTAATTTTGAATCGTCAATTGTGATGCGAAACTGCCGTTTTGCAAATTGGTATAATTATCAAACATGCGTAAATTTTTTTACACTTATTATCCCGGGTAAAGGGAGAAATGCGCTTCTTTAGAACAAACGAGTCTTCATCAGCTATGCTCTTACACGCGAAAGACTAGAAAAAAACAAATAAATAGAACAACGAAACAATCATTGCATTAACAACAAAAATAGATCAACATATTAGTTTTCTTTAAACTCTAGCTTTTGCTTTGCTTGTAAGCACTGATATCTGCTGAACTTTGCTGCTGATTTCTTGAACACAAGTGGTATGTGTAGTACGTGAGCACAGAAATAGTTATTTTATATACAATTCAATATAACTAATTATTAATTTAATACTTAAGGTAATAACTGATATATTATAAGTGATGTATGCATATATATATATATATAATATATACTATGTATTATATATCATAGAATATATAATATACAATATATAATATTAAAAAACTTTTTAATATCTCTCTCTCTCTCTCAGATATCTGAGAGAAGTTCAGGGGAGAAACTATATATTACAGTTTTCTACATTTTAGGTCTTCTACGTATCTAAAAAACTAATTTGTAATATCAAAAAAAGGTTAGTTAGGTTCTTTTATGTGAAACTTTTTGTCTTTAAGATGACTTTTCGCATTTTACTCATACGATCGGTTTTAACATACGTATTCCACTTTCAACGGCGTGACAAAACAATACGTCCTCGTCGTTCGTCAGGGTTTCTCATCTCTGGAGATTCGTCTGGCACGCAGCCTTACACATCTGGGACACTCGAGTTTGTTCGACGTGTGTTTGCAATCTGTGTGAAAGCAAGCGCCGCACTTCTCACATCGGATCACAGTCGATAGATCCCATGGAAATATGATGTCCTTGGAACAGCATAGCTCGCACACAAATCCTCTAGCTTGACACAACTACAAAGGAAGTACATGTAGAAATATAGAAATGTTGTGAATCAAAACACCGTTTGGTTTTGGTGCGACTTAACTAACGACAAGATATAATTTATAGAATACAGACCTCACAATCTGCAACGTGCGCGCAACAAATTTGAACGAGCTCCTGCAGTCTGACGGATAACACACCAGACTTAACGTTTATCAAATCTTGAATCGAGTATACGTGCGGATCGTTTATCATGTAATTCGGCTCCTTCTTCAGCGCATCTTGAAGACTATAACAAGTAATTTTGTTTTTTTTTGTCATTGATCTTTTCGTTTGGTAGCACGTCCACACGAAAATCTGAAATTTACCTGTTAGCAAATCGACACATGAATAAAAAATCTTTCAGAAAGAACAATTTCGTGCGCAAAACTCTTGTTTTGTCCAACTGCTTTATTCGTCTGTACAGTAATGGATTCAAGTCATTCACTTGAAACAACGGATCCGACATCATCTGGTCCAGTAATCTATACGAGAAATTCGATACGGGATACCTGCCGAGAACCAAGAAATGTGACATATAGGAATACTGACGATGTTATTGAATTTATTTTTAGGTTTAGTTTTTCAAGAGAGACAGATCTTACCTATTGAAATCCCATTTGGATAAAATTTTTCCGGGTATAAATGCGACCTGGTTCGTGTGGCAGCCGGTGCAAAAATATCGACCCAAGTATTCGCAGTATCGAAACCGATGGGCGTACTTCACGGCGACTTTCATACCGCAACCGGCGCATCGATAATTTTGTTTCGCTATTAGTGTTCGTTTTCTGAAAAATTATAGAATCGGATAGAAGAAAGCACTTACAAGTAATAAAAAAGCGAGCATATATATATCATTAATTTTTTTCTTGCACTTACACTGGCGGCGGGTGAGGCGTGAAGATGATCTGCGGTCGCGGTGGGGCCCATTCGATTGTTCCTCTCAACGGAATAGTTCGTGAGCCGTCGATTTCGATTTCGTCCGGACTGACCGGCCAGCTCTTCGGCATCGGTAACAGTCGCTGAGGCGCGTCTTTCTCCGAAACCAGCCACTGCAGTTCGCTCGCGCGAGGTAATTGTTTCTCGCTGAAACGACTGATAAGCGACAAAGCTACACCCTCGGCGGACACGCTGCTTTCGCTGAGGACTGAGTCTGTAGCGATCGAAGCGAACGCGCCGTTCAACTTTCGCTCGTCGTCCAGCTCGGAATCTTCTACATCATCAGTAGGCACACTGTCTGACGGACTGCTTGAGGACGTAGACAACGGACTGACACTCTGATCGGTGGTCGTAGTCGTATCGGTCCTACCGTCACTTAACAAATCACCACGACTCCAGCCTCTACTCCGACACTTTTCCTCCTGACGTTGTCGACGTCGCAGCCGAATTCGCTGCTTGAGACGATTGATTTCCTCGTCACTTTCATCGTCGCCTGCGTCGTCCAGCAGCCGGTCCTGCAATCGATTACACTTAACCTGTTCGATAGCGGCGATCATTGCCTCGCAGATACTGAAGTGCGCGTTTTCGCGATCCAGTTCGGCGTCGTGAGCGCGCGAGAATCTTGCCGATGACAGAAAACTAGTCAAGCTTTGGCCTTCGGCCGGTCGTGGAAAGTAACCAGTCGCCATCGGTTGCACGCTGCTACCACCGTCCTCCATAAAGCTCTTCCGCGGCGTGCGGATGTCCTTTTGTCCCTCCACCTCCATGCTCCACGAGCCCGAGAATTCGGGAGCCGAGCCCACGAAAAAAGACGTCTTCCTGTGCGTGGAGCATTGTTCCATCAACTTCGCCATATCCGGTAAATCTGTCGACGGAATCGCTCGCGTTTCCTCGATAGTGTTTTTCATCTCTTCATGAATGTTCGAAGCTGACTGTGTTTTTTCGAATGTTTTTTTACTCTGATTACACTTGATTTTCGTCCGACTCCTCGTTTTTCTCACAGGCATTTTGGGCTTTGTTTTGTCCGTCTTGGAATCAACGAGTTGCTTCGAGTCCGAGTAATTGATGTTGATGATTTCCGCCAGTTCGATAATACGAGTGCGATTGATGTTACTATTGCTGCTGCTACTTTTTTGAATAGTCGACGATATTGCGGCTGAATTTTCTGCCGTGACACTATTGTGAAAACTTCCCAAAGTAGGCAAACTGTTCCAAGTTTTCAATGATGTGTTGACCTTGACTCTTTGCGTGACATCATTAGCTGCCGTGGACTTGGTAATTTGCACAGATTTTGTTTCTTGATTTTCCACACTATTCTTGTCCTTTTCGCTCAATATAGATTGCGTTGAAACTTGACAACGAACAAGAACACTTTCGCTCTTATCTCGGGGAAAAATACGACTAGCGCCAGAAAAATTTACCGGATACGAGGACGAGCGACGATGTCGCCTGGGGCTTGACTTAGGTGAGACCCACGTTGGCAGAAACTGTAAGTTACGACAGAAAAATAAAGAAATAATTGCTTAGCTCACTGAAACTTTTATATACTGACACGAAGCAACGTCAGCAAGATTGTAACATTACTCACTAAACAGGGATCGATTTCTGCAAGCAGTACAGGCTGGTTTCTTTCGACCGCTCTTAAATATAAAAGTGTCGCTTCTGCTAGATTTTCTTGACAAAGAAATGCCCATGGTTCGAGGCAAGAGAGCAAGTGTTCTTTATCAGAGAGAAGCCATGATAACTTATGTGATAAGGAATGATTCTCCAAACTGTAAACAGATAAAATCATAGTTGGTATCTGTTCGCTTATTCAAATAGTTTTCTTCAGATTTGGATTAATAAGAAGAAATTAACATATTGTTTAATTAATACAAGAAAGACAACAAACCTTTTGTACAACCACAACATATCTTTCTTAGATGTTATCCTGGCTGGCAAATTACACAAGTAATCCTCATTTTCTGAAAGCACTGGTGATGTTGCTAAAGATGGTTGAAGCCAATTTAGTCCTTGAATAAATATCCAACAGTCTGGCTCGCCCTTTTAAAAATTTACTAGTTTGAAACATCTGTGCGTAACGTTTTGTTTTCTGTGCAAATTTTAATTTGGAAAACAAAATATTTATATATCGTGTATTTAATATTTATTTTTTGAAACACTAAATGCAGAACTCTCTTCGGAAATGTTAAATACAACTAACATTGGGATCAAATATGCGACAGCCATGTTTAAATATCCTTTCCATCACATTGTGCAGACGATTCAGACCGCCGTAAATATTCCATACATTCGATACCCCATCAATTAGCAGACCTTCAACAGTCGATCGCAAACTCTGAAGTAGCTGCCATTGTTCCTTGTTGTGAATATTCTCAGTCATCCTGTCAAATGAAAACACATAACAATACATAACCTTTCGAGTACTGTTTTTGATTTTACAAATACACACATGTAAATCGTTCCGTATAATATAAAATTCTGTTCACCTGTTCACTTGTTCATTGACATCAATGACGAGAAGAAATTTCACAAGTTCGACGTGATGATTTTGTCTCGTAGGTATACATAAGTAAACACACTAGATCGCATCCTTGATGTCTTTACATTCTGTATACTTTGCCGAATTCGTGACAACAATTCACCGTGTTCGAGATATACGTCCAGATTCGAGCATTTCGAGCCCGATTCGTGCCGTAATAAAATTAATATAAAGGAAAGAAATTGCAGCAATTGTATATTGACATAAGTGTGTTTGGTTAAGATCAACGAGACGCAAAAAGTTATTTGCCACTGTTACAATTAATTAACAGTGAGGATCCACTTCCGACGATAGTGGCGGATTTTATCAGTCTGCTTCGTCTTCTCGCAACAGCTGCCTTTGATGTCAATCAATGGATATACGACGAAGTAGCGCGAAACGGCCAACTTTCGTTGTGATTATTCGACCGCGCGTAATTAAGGCGAGTGATCTCAACTCTCCCTATCGAGAGTTTGGAGTTCGTGTGTTCACATTGGGGTTACATATAGGTTATTGCAGCCGTTGAATCATGCTCCAGTTATTGTATATATATCTGTATACCTAGTTATTATACATATATATATGTTAGCGTCAAAACCAGAAGTCCGGGCAGTTTTAGGATTGACTGGTCAATACCCGAAAAAAAAGGTTAGGGTAGGTTAGGATTAGGTTAGGATTAGGTTAGATTTTTCGGGCATTGACCAGTCAATCCTAAAACTGCCCGGACTTCGTGTTTTGACGCTTACATATATGCAAGGTTGGGTAGTGTCTAGTTAAAAAGATAAAAGTTAAGTTAAAAAGTTAAAAAGTTAAATAATTTTAACTTTATCTAGTTACATTTTTAGACTCTTATCTTTTAACTTTATTTAGTTATATTTTATCGGTAACTAGTAACTTTTTATTTCAACTCTCTTGAATCTACTATAGCCATAAGATTTTTTATTTGTTCGCATATAAAACGGAACATATTTCGTATGATCATAATTGATTTTACATTTTTATAGGCCGAAAAATTCGACCAATCACAAAGCTCAGAATGATTCGTTTTATATGCGAATAAATTCGTACGTGTTCGAGAATTGAGCCAATAATCTTCGAGGAAAAATGTCTAATAAAAATTTCGAAATGGCTTTATTACTTAAATTTAATAAGGTTTTGTAAGCAAAATATATATAGTAAATCTGTTTGTTTGTCACCAAAAAATATATATTTATAAAACATGTGTTTATAAATGTATCTATGTATCAGGTATCTATAAATAAACAAAACAGATGTATCTATGTTTTTATAATAAAATATATAAAGTATATTTCTAAATAAAGTGTACATTTATTTTTTCCATTATATGTAAAATTAAAACACTGTAAATTTTTGTAATTATTTGTAAGACTAAAACACTAAAATCATTTTTAAAAATTTAACTTTTAACTTGTTAATTATTTTTTTTTATTAACTTAACTTTTAATCAATTAATTTCATTATGGATTAACTTATATCTTAACTAAATAAAATTTTTAAGACCTTTAACTGTAACTTAACTTAAATAAAAAAAAAATTTAACTTACCCAACCTTGCATATATGTATGTTAATATAACTATGCGTGTATGTATATGATTCAATTATCTACATATATAGAGTTAGACATTGTCAGAAATCGATCTGAGATCTCGAACGGAGAAAGTTGACCAATCGTAGAGTCCAAATAAAAATAATTAATTTATATATCTGACTACCACTTAGCCTGCTTTTTTAAATAATAATTATTTGAATATCGCTATAGTAACAATTTTTTAATTTTATTATCTATATGTACTACATATATAATTTATTTCACTTTCATTTCTATTATTTAATTTACTTTATTCTATTTATTTACGCACTAACGCATTATAATTTTTCTTACTGACGTTTTTGCCTTCTTTGCTTTTACGTATAAATTTGCATGTATTTTTTGTTAAAGGCATTATTAAAGTATTACTGCCGCAACGTTTCATGTGTTAATGCATTTACTGATAATGTTGTATGTCCGATAAAACATAAGATAATCTATTCCGATTGCGTCATTGCTTCGAATAACAAAATATACAGTTCCTTTAAATGCATCAATGCAACTTGTTTTAAGAATAAAAAAAATCACTTTCAAACGTGCGTTTTCAATTTTGCGTAATTTTACCGAAACAACATGCGGCTTTTTTTCTAATATATGAAATATGAAATTATCTACTATATATTACTGATTACTATATTTTACTGATAATTTTACTGATCAGAGAGATCTCTGCATTGTAAATTATCAGTAAAATATAATAAATACATTAAACATACACAATTATACAGAAATAACGAGTGACAATAACGGCGTCCAAAGTTCGTAGAAATGGTACACGTACGATTCGAGAGTATCGATCCTCGATATATATCTATTGAATTTCGATCAATAAGCGATTAATACAAAAAACACAATATCGAAGAAGAATTTTTTGCTTTCTTCTATGTATTCACGACTTGAGAAGAGAACAAAAAAAAAAAAAAAAAACACAATTGTAAAAAGGCGCGACCAAGAAGAAATATCTATTCGTCGTTTCGATACTCTCGAACGAGCACGTTCGATACTTTCCTTCCCTCTCCACCGACGAAGTACCCTCTACACGCGACCGATACTCTCCTCGCCCTTCAAGCTAAAACACTCCGAATTGTCCGCACGAAGTAACCGCACCTAACGTGCACGTGACTTGTGATTTTTTTTCTCGGGTAAGGAGTGTTCTAATTTAATCGACATGGCAAGCTGCAGGCTGTTCGGCGCCCTTGCGCGTTATTCTCGCAACGCAAATTTTATGATACGCACAGGTGATCACATACATACGATGTCTCAAAGAAATACATCCGAAAACGAGAGAAGAGTGACAAAACAAATGTGTGCGCGTGTGTGTAAACAACAAATGTGCACGATAATACGCTTTTTAGTAGCATGTTTTTATTTCTCATTCTCAAAGTTTTCCTTCAATCGTTTTAATAAAATAGATGAGAGTGTGTGTATGTATCTCGATGAAATAAGTTGACACAACTTTTGGACAACCTTTGCTCGGCGACAATCCCGCGGATTGAAAAACTCTGAAAAGCTGTCCGAAGCTGTCACTTGTAAAGGAAATTTTTATCGCCGATTCGATGTAAAGTCGAGGAATTGTTGAATTGTTCGGTGAACACCACACCGAGGTTGTCAGCTGTTTTTTGACACCGTACGTAACGTAAACTTCAACCGGTGTTGCCGGTTGTCGCCATCGGGCAAAATGATGACAACGCACCGGCGATTGACCTTTGCTTCCGCGTTCATGAAACGATACATTACGAGTATACCGCTACATTCGGATTCATGCACGAACACAGATTGACATATTTAACTTCGCTTTATAACACATTGTTTATTTTTAGGAGAATGTTATAGTTGTAGATACTTGTACTTTAAACCCTTGCTTTATAAATCCGAACAAATTGCGCGATCGGATCGCTTGAATTTGCACTTTGAACGATAAATACATTCGAGCGTATTCATACATAGATAGTGGAGCTTATATTGTTCGAATAGGTATATCAAACTGTTTTATCGATTCACAACGCGTGATTATCCAACTGGTTTGATTCTTTATATATGTAAATTTAGGGATGCGATTTAATTTTACATAATATTAGACGATAGCAATATATTTTTTTGATGTTACAAAATATTAGAAATATACGAAAATGAATAAAAAAACAAATGTACAGAAGTTAAAATTTTAAATAGAAAAAAAAAGGTAAATATTTTGCATTAACACAATAAATTCTATACTTTTTTTTATCTTACTATTTCTCTGTTATAAATAGTTGTATTATTTACTACACAATGTTATCAAAGTAATAATACACAAAAAATGACAAAGATCTGTATAGGTTTTACGTAACAAACACAAATGCATTCAGTTTTGTATGTTTTCTAATAGAATTTTTATTATGTGTTTTAGATTTATACAAACCGTTACGAACATTAGCCACTGAAGCAAATATGAAACATTTAAAATACAAAACCATAGGCGATGTAGCTGTTATCACTATAGATTCACCAGGTACCAATGTAAGTTGCATACATAATGTATATACATAATATATGTATATACATTATGTATATACATATATTATGTATATACATTATGTATATACATATATTTTTTTTGTTTTTTCATTAAATTACTGAACACGATTACTCCAAATTCGAACCAGCAAAACCAAATTATATTAATCGTTACGTCTTATTTATTGTTAATACAGACTAATACGGTAAACCATGAAGTGATAGCAGAAATAGAAGGAGCGATAAAAGAAGTTCAATCCAATTCGGCAGTGAACTCAGCGGTTTTTATCAGCGGCAAGCCAAACAATTTTATAGCTGGTGCAGACATCACTGTCTTGCAATCTATTCCGGACGCAGATACCGGTTACAAAATAGCGAAGCAGGGCCACAGAGTTTTAGATCTTATAGCAAACAGCAAGAAGCCGTTTGTTGCGGCCATTAACGGCACGTGTTTTGGTCTAGGATGTGAGCTAGCGTTAGCGTGTCATTACCGACTTGCTGTGAACAACAAGCAAACCAGATTGGGATTACCAGAAGTGATGCTCGGGATCCTTCCTGGTGGTGGCGGTACTCAGCGTTTGTTTCAGTTAGTTCCTCTTCCTACCGGACTGGATATGGTACTCACCGGCAAATCGCTCAAAGCCGACAAGGCCAAGGAACTCGGACTGGTCGACATTGTGGTGAATCGTCTCGGTCCCGGACTCGCATTACCCGAGGAAAAGTAAATTATTAAGAAAAACTTTTAATGCTATGCCTTGTTGAAATTATTTCTTTCTAAAATCGATTTATTTCATTTTCAGCACACTAAGGTACTTGGAAGAAATCTCGGTCAGGGCTGCGCGAGAGATTGCGAGCGGACAATTGAAAGTCGAGCGGGGTTCGAAGTCTCTCATGGAGAAAATGATGCAGACGGCTTTATCGTTCAGTTTTGTCAAAGATCAGGTATTCAAGAAAGCGAAGGCCCAAGTCATGAAGGCAACAGGCGGCTTATATCCAGCACCCCTCAAAATTCTAGAAGTAGTGAGAGTCGGTTTGGATAAAGGCCCTGTCGCTGGATTCGAAGCTGAGGCCAAGGCATTCGGTCAGCTTTTAGTCACTCCGGAATGCAAAGGTCTCACCAGTCTGTTTTTCGGTCAGACTGCCTGTAAGAAAAATCGTTTCGGTCCGCCCAAGAATGCAGCCAAGTACGTCTTCCAGTAAATCTTTTAAGAAAATAAATTTCGCGACATGTAATTAAAATAATAACGTATGAAAAAACTTGTCAATTTATGTTAGCTATTTATTAAAATTATTATTTTATTATAATTTAATGTGAACAGAAAAATTGCTGTAGTCGGCGCTGGATTGATGGGCGCAGGTATCGTACAGGTCAGCATCGACAAAGGCTACGATGTTATTATGAAGGATACCAATGACGCCGGATTGTATCGCGGCATGAATCAGATTCAAAAGGGATTGGAGGCTGCTGTAAAGCGCAAAAGAATTTCCTCGTACGTTATCTCCCCGATAAAAATCACGACATACAAATTTTAATGTCCTTAACGAACACTTTTCTCCGCAGTATCGAAAAGGATAAGCATCTTTCTCATCTTGACGCGACATTAAAATACGATTCCTTCAAGGATGCGGATATAGTAATCGAAGCGGTGTTCGAAGATATCGGTATCAAGCACAAAGTTCTGAAGGAGATAGAAGCAGTAGTGCCGAGTCATTGTGTTGTCGCGTCCAACACATCCGCGATTCCCATCACAAAAATTGCGGCCGGTAGCAGTCGTCCCGACAAGGTATATAAAGTCACCGAAACTTACTAATGTTTAATTAGTAAACATAGCAAGTTACTATAATCTAATTTTTAATAAATTTTCAGGTCATCGGCATGCACTATTTCTCACCCGTCGACAAAATGCAGCTGCTGGAAATTATAACGCATAAAGAAACATCCGAGGAAACCATCAGAACTGCTGTAGATGTCGGTCTGAAACAAGGCAAAATCGTGATTACGGTTGGTGATGGTCCCGGATTTTATACCACGAGAATACTGTCTGCCATGTTATCAGAAGCCGTTAGATTGTTGCAGGTAGATAGTACACATTGATTATCTGTGCATTATATATACATGCATCTTCAGATAATATTTATCTCTGAAATTTTTACTATTTGCTTACTCGTTTGAGTAAACAAGTGGAGATCTAAGATTTTCTTTAATTATATATTACAATCGTGTTATAATAGTATAAGTATTTTAAATACTCCCAATTGAATAGATAAATTTAACTTTAACTTCTAACAGGAAGGCGTGGATCCTGTAGACTTAGATAAGCTAGCAAAGAAATTTGGTTTCCCGGTCGGCCCAGCTACTTTATCCGACGAGGTCGGTATAGACGTGGGTGCTCACATCAGTGTCGACCTCGAGAAGTCTCTTGGCGCCCGTTTTAAGGGAGGAGACGTTAACATTCTTGCCGACATGGTCAAAGCCGGTTTTCTCGGTACGTTTTTTTGATCAAAATAATTTTTACGTCAAGTAATTCACTTTGTAAATAAATCGGTTTTCACATCTGTATAAAACTCTAAATTATATGTACGCTTTTCTTGTGGATTTCAGGACGCAAGTCTGGCAAGGGTATATACATATATGAAACCAAGTCCAAGAATAGGGACGTGAATCCTGGCGCGTTGGATATTCTGAAGAAATATCAAATTGAACCTAAGGGTAGTACGACCAACGAGGATCGTCAGTTGAGAATGGTCTCGCGATTTATCAACGAAGCAGTGCTCTGCTTGCAAGAAAATATTTTGGCTAATCCCGTAAGTGTCTCATTTTCAGAAAAATCTACTAGAAAATAAATAAAAAATCATAATTTTCATTAAGAATATAATAAAAATAATTGTAAACAGAAGTTGCACAAAAGATTATATAAAACAGAAAGTTATTGTTTGATAAATGAGATTGCAAGAAAATTGTTTGATAAATGTCAAATTTGTGCTATTTGCATATCTGTTATAATTGACTTTTTGTTTATTAACCATTTGTAAACTTAGGTGGAAGGTAACATAGGTGCTGTGTTTGGATTGGGTTTCCCACCATTCTCGGGTGGACCATTCCGCTGGGTAGACGCATACGGCGCTCATAGACTGGTCAAGAAGATGGAGGAATATCAGAATCATTACGGTGAGACTTTCAAACCATGCCAAATGTTGCTTGACATGGCCGCCGATCCGAAGCGAAAATTTCACTCGCAGTAAAAAGATTTTACATAATTAATTTGTTATTGATACAATTTTGTCAATGCTCATCCAAGAACTACTATTGTAGTTGTTCGCTTCGACATCGAAAAGCATAAAAAATGGATGCGCGAGAAAACCTTTTGTATTCTTACAACTTAATTTAGAGCAAATATTATATGGGTGATTCTCTGTGAACGCGTAAATTTCAACTTTCATTTTTGATAAAAAAATTATTATTATTAAACTAACGGATAGCGATGAATATGAAACTATGCAATATAAAAAACTTATCTATTTTTTATATTAATATATTAATATACCACGGAGATTACAGTCTATGGAGATTACGTTTTTTTGAAAATTATCCATAACTCGTGATTTTTTGTTTGTATATATATATATATCTATAAGATTTATATATGTTATTTACTCGAGATGTAATGCGATGTTACACACGCAAGTTGTGAGACAGAAAGGGTTAATAATAATATGCTACGCATAATGCGTAGAGAGACTGTCGCGTCTTATAGAGTACACACATATTTTTGAAATTGAAATTTACACAGCTCGTTCACTCGCGACTTTCTGCAAACATGTTGTAGATAGCGTCGAGCATTTATTATTTTTCGAGAGTTTTATATGCTGCATTATAATACTCTTACATCTGCGTACAATCCATTTATACATATATATACACATACACAAAGTGCAGCCAAGTTATACATATATATGGGTGATTTTCTGTGAACGCGTAAATTCCAACTTTCATTTTTGATAAAAAAATTATTATTGTTAAACTAACGGATAGCGATGAATTATGTTTTTTTTATACCATTTTAAGTTATTATTCGTAATATGAATACATAACTATGCAATATAAAAAACTTATCTATGTTTTTTATGTCAATATACCACGGAAATTACGTTTTTTGAGAATTACCCATATAACATATATATATATATAATAAATTGTATTATACGTATATTTTTGCAAACTTTATCAGAAATAAAAAGATTGTCTATTAAACTTGCTCAATTTTTATTTTTCGATCTTTGTATTAAGAATTATAATTCATAAGTTATAAAACGTCCTCGATATGGTATTCCCACTAATTTATTACCACAGACATAACGCTTTTTATTCATCTACAATTATGTGCGGAAATTCTTTTTGCTTTCGATCGTGTTAATTTGTGTGACAAAAAAGGTAATAAATTAGTCTGACAAGCAGTAATACTCCGGAATAATATAAAAAAAAGAAAGGAATTAACGAGAATTAAACTTGATGCAACAGTTTAGAGATATTGCACTTGTTGTTTGCGTGATATCACTTCTTCTAATCAGGAAATATTACAAATCCGAACCACCGTTTCTACGTTTATATTTTGATTCTTTTAATTCCAAACTTCATAATAAATTTCTTCAAACAAATTCTTCAAATTTTTTATGATAACAAATTTACGATTTTGTTTTTGAAAATTGTCTTGTTCTTAGAAAATCTTTATACATTAAGAGAGGTTTTATTTTTATCACAACAATACAAATATTGTTTAAAGCGACTTTTTTCGTTATGAATGAACAGATTTGTGAAAATCGTGGCTTGTACAAAAAGTACCTGATGATTTTTATATACAAAGTCTATCAAATGTATATGTTTTCTCTTGAAAACTTTAAAATTCTTGCAGAATTTTATGCCTGCACAGAAATATAAATTTCCATCGTTTTTGTTTCGCGGATCATTCAGACGAATTTTAATAAAGTCGAGTAGAGGGTAATCATGAGGATATTTTGCGTCATCTACCGGTCCAACACACCTGTTTATTAATCGCTTAATAAGATCGAGTCCTTGGCTGATGCAAGAAAATCGGAAGTTTCGTGAGATAGACCGTCGCGCCGGTATGCAACAACGTTTGATCTTGCTCGTCCTGTTTCTATTACATATCAAACAGGAAAAAAATTGCAGAGGTGACTAAAACCTACTTTCTGCAAATTTTATTTGCGATGTGGTCAGATATCGACGAAAACACACAACTCATGTCTCCCAAAGTTATCGTTACAAAATCATTGAAATGTTCGCAATACTTCATTAACGATTAATTTAGCGACATTTTTTTTCAATATAAAATTATAGCAATTTTATTTTGCGTCGCGTGATAAAGTCAGTTCTTGTGCGGTTAACATCTAATACTTTTTACTTAATGCTTTTTTTGTTTTATTAACGGAAATGTGACGTAATTCGCGGAAGTAATCTTATCGATGCTGGCAACCTCGCGATACATCTAGCGGTCATTGTTATGCATCGGGAATCGTGCTAAATTGCGATAACGCACGCGATCACGTGATCAAAAGTTTGTGTTTTGCGTCATTTTCCACTCGTATTGCGGCACATTTGCAACAACGAGGAATACACGTGTGTTGAAGTCTTTATTTAAATATAATTTTTATATTTTGATATTCAATAAACATATACCTATCTCATAAAAACTTCTACACGCGCAACAATTTATAATAGCATATATACGCAATATATATGTTATTAATTTGTATAAAACTATATCAACGAAGTATTGGCCAATTGACCAACCTCAAGTCGACCATATCTAACGTTCACGTGAATTCGCGTGTTCATCGATGTCCATGAGACTGCACGCTGTTCTCGAAATCAATCGTGACGCGACATTGTCATGTTTCGCACGCGCGTATATTAATACAAATGTATACGGTGTGATTTCACTGTTTGTCTCTTGTTATCAGTCATCTCGAGTCGCGCGACCTTCTCTGCTTACAGAATTTTAAGTGCGTTTTTTTTTTTTTTTTTTTATCTATATTTGTCTCGCGCAAGAGACTCAAGGAAATTATCTTTTTTTTCGAGGAAGTAGAATTTTTTCTTAACAATATCAATGCTCGGAGTCGCGAGTAGGACATCAAGGAGACGACGATAAGGCGAAAGGAAAGAGAATTCGCAATGATTTACGAAAAAGTATACAATTTATTTAATTGTAGAAAAATCTTTAACAATACATTAAAGTCTTAAAGTTGCCGAATGAAGATTTTTCAATCGATCTCACGCACACACACACACACACACACACACAATGTTATATACATAATGAACATGTACATATATACATATACAATCCTCATAGGGACGGTAATTGCAATCACGACTTGCAAATAAGGTATTAAATAAACTCTAGAAGAAAGAAATAACATTTTATAGATTACTCTAAAGTATGTAAACAATCAACATCTTTCCTATTCTAGTTTTTAGACTCAGCAGAACCTTGGGAATCGATCGGTTTAACCGACAACAGTTTTCACACAATCTGAGTCTCCGCCCTTGCGCTTCCTCGTTCAATATGTACAATTAATCGTCGAGAATTTATGTTTTTCGGAAATCTGTACATATATCTGTTATACACGTTATATAACTACAACATATCGGTTTTCGCATAAATAAATATTTCCTCCTTTCAATCGATTCACGCGTGAAATTTGGTATGCGCTTTAAGAGTGCTATTTATCGAGAACAGCTCTCACGAAAGTAAACGACACAAAGATGGAAAACAGATGCTAAAAAGAGTAGTCGAGAAATTTGTGTATAATACAATTTGTTTTTTTTTTGTTTTTGTTTTTTTTTTTTTAGACTTTGTATTGTCTGTTAAAATTCTTCGGCTAGCGAAGAATTGAGCGATCAATCAAATTACGCTCCGCGTTTTTGTATTCCACATTCAGCGTCAACGCATGTATATTCCGACTTGAAAGAACATATGGCACGTGTTTAGCGCTGAATGTGCACCGCGAGTACGAGTCTGACTTCCCGTAAGTGTGATGGTAAAACTCCCGACTAAACGGCCACACTAGCCTTCACGTGTCACAGATCACAGACACACTTAGGTATTCGATTTGCCGACGGTGGTCATCATCACCGTATATCTCTGCTTTTTCTTAAGTACTGCTTACTTCGCTTCTCGTCTTTCACGTATGACTTTATTCTTTCTTCGTTGAAAAATTCGGTTAACCAGATTCATCAGCAGGGACACCACGTGCCCATTAAATTAGAACATGTGTCCAATGTGCTTTTATAGTTGTCTTCAAACCTCTCCTTCGGTGTATCTGATACTCGATCCGTCTTCCAGTCCTCGCTCAAACCCGAAGAAATTGTTTTCTTCGCGTGCTGGGAATCACAATCCAGAATTCTGATTAAGACACGCGGACGATAGCGATCTTCAAGCGACTCCAGTCGCACGTGCGTATCTTCCTCAAGCCGCTAATTGTGGCGGTATCAACTGCTGAACCGGTCGCGACAGTCGGGGTGCCAGCACCGGTAATAGGCTTACTCTCAGCGGCATCGAAGTCATCTGAGAGGCGGCAATTTGACCGTTCGAAGCGGAAGACGAGGACTTATCTCTGGTGTGACGTTTCACGTGTTTCGCCAGATGGTCACTCCTCATGAATCGCCTCTGACAAACGGCGCAGACAAATTTCTTCTCGCCAGTGTGCGTTCGTTTGTGACGCGACAACTCGTCGCTACGGGAGAAACGACGATTGCAGTCTTCGTAGGGACACGGGAACGGCCGTTCGCCGGTGTGTGTGCGCGTGTGCGCCTTCAGATGCGACGATTTGAAATAGTTCTTGCCGCAGCCCGGATGCTCGCACTCGTAAACGCGACGACGCGTTTCCGTGCTCGCGGCCGTGCTCGTCGCAGTAGTCGTCGCTGTGGCAGATGTCGGTGTCGCGCTAGCGACAAGCAGAAGAGGCGTTCGCGGCAGAACCAAACCCGTCACTACAATGGGCGCGGGTTTAGGCGCCAAAGGTTGCAATCTCGGTAAGTGTTGCTGTTGCTGATAATTCTCACGATCAGTGTTCTTACTGTTCACGATAATCTCTTCCTTGCGCAAACTCATCTTAAATTTCAAGTTGCGTAATACGTCTATCACCGGCTCCGTCCCGCTCGCTCGCGCGTTCGCTGACGAACTGGGCAATTGTCGCGCGGCCGATTCGCGCGGCACCGGCTGACCGCTAGTCGTGAGACCCCCCGTGAAATTAGCCGGACTGTAGGTACCGTCTCGATTGCCGCGCATTATTACCGAAACACGGGCCGGTTCCGGACTTGGTGGCGGCGTGCCGTCTAACAACAGCTGAAATAAAAATAAGATCTATTTGACCCAAAGTCTTTCGTCCAAGTGCGGCGTTTCACTCTGTTTGAAAATATGTATAACAATATTTTCTGATGTAATTGTTGCGAAAAAATGTCATTAGTTTATTTAAAAAGATTTAAATATTTTCAAGGCTAATGTAAAAATAAAACGAAAGCAAAGATGAAACATTTTTCAATTTTTTAACTATATAAGAAGTTACGCGTACTCGAAGAATTAAAAAAAAAAAAAACGGAGTAGAACAAATAAGTGTGCGCTTGGAGGTGTATTGCGATAAGTTTTGCGAGCCCGCGTTCCAGTCGATTAAGCTTGCAAAGAGAAATCGAAGAGAAGTGTGAGAAGAGGGAAGGAGGAAGTCGTTTGGAAAGCAAAGAGAGTTGTCTGTTGATAAAGATTATCTCTGGTTTTTATTTACCTTCGCCAGTTCGCAATGTTCGACGCGTCGTCGCTTTCGAGTTCGTCCATTCGGTTCGTCCTCCTCCGAATCGGAAGGCTGTGGGGTAGGTGGTAGAACGTGACGCGAACCCGCATCTTGCTCGTCTTTCCGCTCGGATTTCACCGCAAGTTTCTCCCCCAATAAAGACGCGACGCTAAACGATAACTGCGTTGGATCCGTCTGTCGAACAAACGGGAACGTAGATGCATCATCACGTTGAACAAAGCAATTTGCTATATAAATCATTCGCTAAATTTTTTAATTCAAGTGACAATAAAAAAAAATAGATTAGAACCATAATGATATAAAAATTTTAATGTGCGGTTCGTTTTAATTAATCCCAATTTGAACAGTTCCACAAATGTGACTAAGAGAATAAAAATAAATATCTGGTTCATTCGCTCGTTTATTTTTACATTCGCGTTGTTTATCACAATGCGGAGATCTTGTATTTGTAAATTATATTCTTGTTTAGAGTCCTTCATTTTATTGTCTCTAAACTTGTTTTGAGAAAAACATTGCCAGCACAATCGTCATCTAAAGAATGTTCGAACGAAAACTAAGCTAAAATAAAAACTCAAAGAATTCAAAGAATTGAAATTAATCGTAGCAAAAACTCGAGTTTTTATCACAGAAGTACCTCGAACTCAAAAAATATCTATATGTAATACGCAACTTGATAGCTTTGCAACTTTTTGACATTATAATAAAAACGCGTGCGTTACAAAATTAACTACACATGTGTAACAACGTGTTTAAAAAAGCTCACTTTTCCAAATTTTACAGGAAGCAAATTGGAGAAATCGTAAAAAAAACGTTTGAGTTTCGCGGGCAACGGCAGACTGTTGTGGCGGTATATTTAATTTGCTGCCACTTACGTGTTTGAGCTGGGGCGAGGCCGGTGGCGAAAGAAGCGCCTGGTTCGTGTCCATTATTCGAACAGGACGAGGAACCCGAAGTGATACTCAAAAAAAAAATTTTAAGTATTCAACGACAAAAAAACGAAAAAAAAAAGATACACAGCGACACGACGAGCCCTCTTCGGCAAAAGTGGAGCAAACAAATCCGCACGTAACGGACAGGCGTCTCACGGTGCAATGAAGCTTGCTCAAGTCGGCGCTGGCTCGGGACCGCCGACCCGCACTCGCTACGTGTGTGCGTGATCACGCGGCGCGCGCGGGCGCGACCAATAGCGGTGAGGGGCTCGCCAACGACCGGCCAATCGACGCGGCTCGATCAGCTTGTGGCCGCGTGATCGCGGGCGTGCTGTTCACGTGCTCCCAGTCTGACTCGGACCGTGATCGTGACGTCAGCGCGCGTGGAGAACGCGGTCGATACGTCATGGCGCGTTTTAAGCGTCATGCAACTTCCATCCTCGTTCCCCCTCTCTCGTTCTCTAAATTACGTCGGCTTTGCCTGTGCGATTGTATAGTAAGATTTGTCTCTTTCTTTCTTCATTCGCATATCGTAAACGCGGCCTCGCACACACATCTTTTCTTTATGTCTACTTTTCCGCACCAAACTTGTTCATTTTTTTTCTCCGTTTCTCTCTCTCTCTCTCTCTCACTGTTTTGATTTATATTTATCCCCGTTTATATTTATCTCGCCGCTGTTTACTCTTCATGCGGATTCAATGACCTGTATATTTTAATATATTTAAAAAGTTGCATATTTCGTATGTTAAAACGCAAGTTTTTATTTCTTCCTTCTTTCTATTTTTTGTTCGGGCAAAGAAAAAATTTGCCTTACGAAACAATTTAAATAGTCGATCGATAAATAAATCGAGCAGCGGTTGAGCACTTCAGAAAAAAGTGGGTTAAATTGTAAAAAAAAAAAAAGAGTTTCCGTTTATGACTGCTTGCTATTTATATTGCTTCGGTTTCTTTGTGTATTTTTTTGGCCTTCCCTCGGCCGACAATCTCGCTCATTGCTCTCGACACTCCCGTAATATCGAGGAGCAAACGGGATCGTTAGAGAGAAAGAGAGCGGCGCACGAGCCCCCAAATACATACCGATCTATAGAAGTGGTTGTCGCTTCAAATGACAAAGTGAGAACTTTGCTCCTGCCAACGAGCCGCGACAAAACAATGAACGCGTCTGAGAGACACAAATAATACTCGTCTTGTATATTTTAAAACGTTTTACAAAGAGACTTTTCACCATCATCGATAGCAATTATATGATCGTCGATTACAAACACCGCTTTAATCGGTGTTCTTGTTTCAATTTTATCTTAGAAATTATTATCGGCGTGTCAATTTGTCTTTGAAAAGTCACAAAATACAAGAGATAACGAAACTATTCGAATAATGGAGCGCGTGTGCAACGACCTGATGTAATCGCTTCGAATGAGACAGAAACAGTCGAATAAGCAAACTCGTGGGAGGGGGGGAAAATCTCTTCATTTTGAGCAATAATGAATGAAGAAGGTCGTGAACTCCTAATTGGTATACTAGAATTTATAGGGTTCGCGATAAAAATACACAAAAATTTATATTTGATGGTTTCAATATACATTTCTGTTTACAGACTCGGTTTCCTTGGATTGATAGCGTAATTACAAGTGACGATTCAATGTATCCAAGTTGTTTCTTCTTCGAAAACAAAGACGAGAAGAGTGTCAATACGTATATACATGCATCTACTACGTCGCACCGCGTATGTATTATGGGAACATTCAATATCTCGCGCAGAATCGCGCAAATAATTGATTAAAATTCTCACCCCACAGTCTTGTTTTTGATGACACTTGAGTCCATGACAATTTCTCGACGTGGTAAGTGTTTGTTCAAAAATACGCCGTACGTTTATTTCTGGTTCTTCGTATCTCGTTATTTATCATTGTGTCTCGGGTCGATGATGCGTGGGGACAACCCACGTGGCGTCTGCAAGGATCAGCCGTCGGGCTCGTGATCGGCGATCGCGCGCGAATACCCCCGGTCTTGAACGGTCGTTATCTGCAACGTTAAATCGACACTTAAAAGTGATGTCGTTGTTTTGACGACGAGTACCTATCGCAAGTACCGAGTCTCTGATGGCCGAGATCTCATTAAACAATCTTGGAAGATTTTATATTATATGACGTTGTTTAGATCAGGACCGGTTGTTTTCGGTTAAACGCGTAAGAGACAGACGTCGATGTTGCGTGACATTACGTAAATATGTGTATCGCTTTTAACGTATTATAAATAAATTCAGAGATTATTCTCTTCCCTTGAAAAAGAATAATATCTAAATATATATGTATATGATATTGAAATTCGAACTCGAACAAGAGATAAGACGGTGCGTGATTGATGTTCGTTATATTTTTCGATTTTATAATTGCGACGTCTCACGGTTTGTTACATTTTAACCGAACGAAAATATGCGACTCTTAAAACATTACGATGCGCATATTTTCAATAACAAACGCATTTCATCGGCACGATCATGCGCGACGATTTTGTTGACACAAATGTTACGATAAATAATTCACAAAGCGAATTTTTATTTTTCTCTTTCGGCGTGTTGAATCATGGTCTTGGAGACGACGACTAAATAAGTGAATCCCGTTTTGTGTTTAGGGCATTGATTTTCAGAGTTTGCTCCGATGGGAGTAGCAATCGATAAAAATGGTTCGTAAATAAAACGTGTCAGTAGGTCAACGTGGTAAAAACTTACACGTAACGACGAGATCAAAATATTGCGAGCGTTACTTTACCAGAGATAGTAAAAACCCTGAGATGTGTTTATAAATTTTCGACTATCTTAACTTTATAACGCTGACGTAAAGAGTCGATTATGTAAAACGAATCGGGTGATTCTACTTCTATGAAAAAAAAACACAAAATAAAAGAAACGAATAAAATTTGACCTTGAATCTCTCTTGATGCTGATGTTGCGCACGTAGACGAGGCACGTAGACTTTTGTTATATTGATATCCTCATCTCCGAAACATGCAGTTTCTACACTTGGACAAGTTTTCTCTCCATGTTCTCTCTATAGATATCCATTTGGAGAAATGATATCTCTGCGAGAAGAGACAAGATAGTGTGCGCATCTTTCAAGGCTATTCTCCCCAACATTATCGTACTGTGATGATGTGACTTCTAAGTCGTGCGTCTACACGTCGTTGAAAAGTAGAATTATACGTTAACGTTACGATTTACGACTAGCTATTGTAAAATTTGGCAATTTGTTTCAAACTTATCTGATATCTCCGCACACAAAGATGCGCGGCATCATAGATTTGAATCGTTCCTCGCTTCTCCTCACACACGTGAGGTATTTCAAGTTCACTCAACTTACGCTGCTACTTACGATAGATATCTCTCTCGCTGATATTATGTTTCTCTTTCTCTCCCACCTCTCAATCAGAAGGAAGAGATTACATTCTTTCTAAGTTTCATTGAGAGAACAATGAGTATGCAGGGTCCAGTTAAAGCTGCGAATGTTCCCAAGATTTCAAATGCGATCTTATCTGAACGACGTTCGATTCATTCAAATCAAAATAAATCGAAATATTCTTAAGCAGAAGACGTACTTTATTTAAGACTGAGCATAATTTCTCACAAATTTAGAAGAGAAATTTAGAGTATACAGAAACTTTACTAGATCTTGCCTTACGAATAGTTACAAACTCGTAATTAGTTTTGAATTGAATTTAATTCAAATCTCCGTGTGTATTAATAATTCACATGTTAAAAAATATGTATATATTTGTACATTTTTAACTTGGTTAAAATATTTTTACGAGCTTTATAAATTTGCTATGTTATTTTTATTTATAAAAAACGACCAAACGATACATACGTAACTAACATGATACATAACAAAATGATACATATGCAACATCTTTAAGTGTAGAAAGTGCACTGCGTCTGTTGCGATATCGTATTTGAAGAGATGACAAGTCAAAGATGATAAGTTTATAGACGCATGATCAGTTGCAATTCAAAGTGGACAAAGTCCTATAAAGTTTCGGGAAATAGTACAAGGTGTAGTAGTCCTGCTATTTATTACTATTTATTACTGTTTTTAACGAATATCTCACAAGTGAACGAAATAGTCATGGCAACTCTAACAAATTTGCCGCCGATAGCGAGACTGTCCAACAAAGTAATTAGAATTTTAGGATGTAATCCCGGACCGATGACGTTGCAAGGAACAAACACTTATCTTGTAGGCACTGGTCGCAGGTAACAAACATTCCGTTGCATTTGATAATCGGTTCTGACGCTTTTTAAGTACATAAATTAACGTACATTTAACACAATATTTTATTTTTTTATAACTTCTTGTCAGATTTTTATTTGTTTTGATATAAAAATAATGAATGGCAACGAAATAAATTTTTGTCATTGTTTAATATTTACAGTTGTCATGCTCAAGAATAATTAAAAATTTGTCAAACTTGTGCACAATGCTTTTCGTTTAGGTTTAGGTTAGTTGATATCTTGTGTTACTGGCTATATTTAAGTTAATAACTATAATGTGTGCCAATTACAAAATTTGCAATTATTAAAATATAACACTTGATTATAGAAAATGAAACTATTTTTTCTTACTATGAATGAAGTGTTATCGATTTTTTTTTTCAAGAAGTGCACTTTTTTTTTAGCAATAATTTTTAATTATTTGTCATGTAGACGTGTACTTGTTGACTCTGGAGAAGCTAAAACTGCTGAAGCTTACGTGAAGCTCTTGAAAAATGTGTTGAATGAAGAAAATGCAACCATTGAACATCTGGTAATCACTCACTGGCACATTGATCACATTGGTGGCGTTGAGTCTGTACAGAACTTAGTGAAGAAACTATTTCCTACTGAAAGAGAGCCGATTGTATGGAAATTACCACGTTCGCTGAACGATAAGAACTCATCAGACGATGAGAGGAACATCAAGTGGGAACCTCTGAAGGACAATCAAGTGGTGGAAGTTGAGGGAGCAAAGCTTCAAGTCAAGTATACACCTGGACATACCAGTGATCATGCCTGTCTGCTGATGCAGGATGACAACATTCTGTTCAGCGGTGACTGCATCCTTGGAGAAGGCACATCTGTCTTCGAGGATCTGCATGATTACATGTTGTCATTAGAAAGCATCTTAAAGTTAAAACCAGATCTAATTTATCCAGGCCATGGACCAGTTCTGAACGATCCCATAACTCGCATAGAGTATTACATCAAGCACAGACAGCAGAGAGAAAACGACATACTGCGGATGCTGGATGACCAGGGAACTAACAAGCCGAAAACAGAGATGGATCTTGTTAAGCGGTTGTACAAAGTAAATAGTTCATTAAAACATAAATGAAGCTTAAAACAATTATGATCTTGTTACACTTTTGTCTATTTTTCAAAAACATTTATACGAAATTTATTGAAATAAATAAAAAAAAAAAAAAAACACTATGTACAGGATACTCCGGAAAGCTTGCATTTGGCTGCAGCATATACCGTGAATCATCACCTTCGCAAGTTACAAAAAGAGGGAAAAGTATTTCAAGAAGAGGACGGCGGTTGGTGGAGAATCAAAGGCAAGATTTAATGCATGCATTCTGTGTAGACAATTATTTAGAATAATTTAGTAGTATTAATTGCACGCGGAGAAACATTATTATGAAACATTTATTAAACTCACAAGAGGAAATCATAATTATACATCACGAAGTTTTCAAAATTAGGCTGATAGCTATTATCATTGATGTGCGTACAATGAACAAGAGAGTACATTTTCACGACAATTTCACGAGGTACATATCGCAAGGTGTGGTACATACACAAATCATCTTCCCTGTTTAGGCAGACCGTTAGTCACTTGCGTCCGACTACAAACACAGTTTAACGGTGAATATAAAATATATATATGTATATGTATGTTTGTATATATGATTATATATACTTGGCTATAGACATGTCGCGACAATAAATGTTTCGTTATATTTTTTGTTATAAAATCTGTGTTTCTTTCTCTCTCTCTCTCATTCTCTCTCACTGTTTTTCTACTAGCTATGTTATCTTGGCGAATATTAGCACCCCTCATCTTGAACAATGTGAGGAAATTCCCCCTAAAAAACTTCGATGTCGCGATATACATTCACAGGATATCACTAAAGTACAAATCATTGAAATAAATAAAGAATTGTGATGAGATTTGAGAAATTATCAACCTGAGAAGTAATTCAAATTTGAATGACGTTCGAGAGTTTAAAACTCCGAAATATACAAAAATTCTATGAGAGGCACAAACCTTTTTTTTTATTTTTTTATTTTTTTTTATCTAATAGTTTAAGAGGAAGGCGTTCTTAAGGCTCTGAGAATTTGAAAACTCAAAGACTCAGAAATTCGGAGAAATATGGACATTCGTTAAAGATCCCGAAAAATCTGAGAATCTCAAAGTTTCCAAAATCCAACGATCTATATAAAAAAATATCAAAGTTATATATTGACAATTTTTTTGCAATGCACTTTAGTTATATCCAATATATATATATATATATATATAATAATTATATGGACATATATCTTTAATAAGCTCACTTTTGTTATTTAATTCACCTACTACTCTCTCTTTGGATAAACGTAAAAAATATATATTTATATATATATACTATATATATTTTGTCAACACATACAACAAAATTGTTTTCTCTCTTACGTACATATACATGCATTTTTCCTCTTTCTCTCTCTTTTTCACTCCTTGAATGAAGGTTTATTTCATTAATTAATAAAAACAATGCAGTTATATAAGTTTAGTATCATTAATATTCTAAATAACAAAAAACAAAGAAATTTCAATGATCGAGAACAATATGCGTAACTTATATATATATATGATATAGATAGATATTATATATATATGTATATGAAATGTATATACGTATACAAAATATATATACGTATATATGTACGTATATATATATGTACGTATATATATATATGTATGTATATATATATGTATATATGTATATGTGTACGAAACACACACGTGTGGGAACCACAACGACGAGATGATCCATTCTTTCATAAATTAAGTTAATAATTACACTTCGAGCCTGCAGCATACGATGCTTTTCTTCGTGCTGAATCGCATGCAAATATCATAACAATTTGAAGATAATTTGATTTTAAGATTACAATTGGTCAAATCTCTACTGCTTGTATGAAATTCAGTACGAAACAAAAGCATCGTGTGCCACAGGCTTTATTAGATAGCAAGTGATGACTTGTACAATTATGGACAAGCTTCAGTTCATTTTATCGTCTTGTTTTTGTGTCATAGTAAAAAATTAAAAGATTCAAAGAATAAAACTAAAGACGTAGTTTTTTTTTTTTTTCATTTTCGTACGTCTATGTTTTAACTCAATTTACAACTCTTTTATTTTGGATAGAATCTAGTTTAATGTATCGAATTTAGTTTAGAAACATTATTTGTTAATTATAATTAATTAACGTTATTGTTAATTATAATTGATTTGTTAATTATAATTAATTAACGTTATTTGTTAATTATAATTAATTAACGCAATTGTGATTAATCGAATATCTAGAAAGAGAATATAAATAATTTTTGTACATTTGTTGTACAAAACTTTTTTGCAATTGTTTTACGATTAAAGAAAACTGAAGCCAAATCAATAGATAAAAAACGAAAAGATTTGCGACACGAAAAGGCATACGGATTGCGAAGAAAGACGTTTCTGAAGATAAGTAATAAATCTTTAGAATAATTAATACCTCTTAGAAAACAAAATAGAAGGAAAAAGAAGGTGAAAGAGAAGAACATCTGAGTTGTCACGCTTTCTCGTGCGCCCGTCTTATACTTAAACATTAATAGCTCTTAAGCTTTTAACGATATATATACGGTCTCATATGGCGTCCCTCTTGTTCCATCGCAAGAAGAATCCGAAATATCACTGAGAACTTGGGGTTGTTAAGAAATTTGACATCTATTCTTCGATTAAAAAGTGATACAACATTAGATTCACGAAATTCTACATTTCGTGCAATAAAGATCTAGAAATTCGCAGCCCCAAAGTTGACATATTACACTCTTCTCCTATAAAAATAACTTCGTATCGTTACAAGTGTGGCACAAAGTCGTCAGCAATGACCGAGTCGTTAATCTCAAAGTCGGATCTGCGTGAGAATCCGAGATTGATCTCGTAAAGTAAGAAAATTCAGATATAAGACAAAAGTACGAAGAATGTCATATATACACCATGTGAAAGACGTTTTATAAATTGTCCAAACGCTGTTGTTGAATGTCGCATTTAGTTGATCGCGAATCTAGCTCGATATGATGTTATATAAGCGCGCTCGTCATGTTATTTCTTTAGGAAAGAAGTTCACTGAGAATATCACTTTCTTTGTTTTTTTTTTTTTTTTCACTTGAAACACGGCAGTACTACAAAAGAAAATTCTGCTCGAAGCAGCTCGGATTTATGTAACTCAAAAGATCGTGATCCGACATTGATGTGAGTTCTTGCGGCAGCATTCCGTCTTCTGGCTTCTTGACCACTGTGGTCGCGGCGGGATTGGGAATAGGGGCGTTCACAGCCTGGCGATTCGGAGTAACCGGAAGTGCGACGGGTGGTGATTTACTGGCAACTTGCTCGACGATATTGTTTTGCGTTGGTGGCGATTTTGGTAGAATTCCTTCCATCGCATTGTTCATCAGCTGTGCGCTTTGAGTCGCCACGCTGCTCAGAATCTTCTTCGTGGCGATAATCGCGTGAGCAGTAGTCGTTGTGATAGACCGATTGTTGAGGATATCTTTTGTGGCGTTTGTGATAACGTTATTGATAGCCTGTTCCGCCTCGTTGGTTAGTCGTTGCTGCGAGATTTCCTGAGCAGCACCGCTTGCTAAAACAGAGCTCGCTTCAGCTACAAAACCTGCGGGTTGGTTTAACATGGAACACATGTCTTGTTGAACCGCCTGTTGCATAACTTGTGCAGCTTGAGCTTGTTGGACAGCTTGCTGCACTGCATGAACCTGTAACAATTTGTTCAGTATTTTTTAATTAGTTGTTTTTAATTCTTCTAATCTGAAAGATTTTGTTTTCTGAATCTTTACAACATATTGCTACTAACCTGCTGTACAACTTCCTGCGTTGCCTGTTGTACTGCTTGTTGTACTACTTCTTGAGTCGCTTGTTGTACCGCTTGCTGAACCAACTCAGTCGCTTGAACTTGCTGTACGGCTTGTACCTGCTGCACCGCTTGCTGTACAACGTGAGCATGTTGCACGACTTGCTGCACCACTTGTTGCTGAGCTTGTTGTACCGCTTGCACCGCTTGTTGCTGCGCGTGCGCAACGACTTGCTCGACCTGTTGCTGCGCCTGCGCTAGTTGCTCTACTTGCTGCACTTGCTGTTGCATCGCGACCACATCTTGCTGCGTGAGCGCTTGAATTTGCTGCATGTGCTCCGCTGCAACTGTTGGTATTGTATTAGCAGTAACCTGAAAACAAAGAAAAAATTTTTATGTATAAATTTTATCAATTTATTTAAAGTTTCGCATATTTTTCTAATGTATAATAATAAAGCGAGACATACTGTAGAATTTGACGTGGCAGTTGTTGCATTGACTGGCGTTTCCGGCAACTGCGGTAATAGTGCCGCATTGATAGTAGTCATTAGACTCTCTCCTGTTGGTTCTACTGTCGCGGTAGGTGATACCGCCGTCGCACTCGGAGCTGCTGCTAAAGGTTGTACCGTCTGCGCTGGTATTAACGCTTCCAGCAACTTTACCGGAATCGGCGGACTGGTCTGCTGACTATTACTAATTGCTTCGTGTTCCGACGTCACGTGGCTTAATATCGTGGTAGAATTTGGGTTTACCGAGCGCAACGGAGTCACCATTTGTTCAGCTGCGGAATTTACTAAAGCATCTAATTTTACCGAAGTTTGTCCTAAGAAAAAAACACGATATATCAATATATCGTCGTATATTAACTAAAATCTCATTTTTTATAGATATATATTATTATAGAAAATAACAAATATATAACTTTTGGTATAAATTATACCTGTATTGGCCAGAATTCCCGGCGAAGGCGTTGACTGCTGACTGCTTCCCGAGATAATAGAAGCCTGCTGTTGTTGAATGGCAAATCCGTTCTCATTGTCAGATTCCTCGGTGGTAGTTACTGAAGAATCCATGTGATTCAAGAACTTGTCTACTACGTGATTGCCAGAACTGGATAACGGCTGTGTTCCGGAAGTGACGGGAAAACTTGACAGCGTGCCGAAATCTGGCTGATGATGGTGATGTTTCATACGAAGATCCACTACACCGCTGTTCTGAAGAGCAGTTCCATTAGAGCTATTTTCAGTCGGCAAAACATTGGTGTCCTTGAGGCGATGAGGACTGAGAACTTGAACTTGGGTTGATTCGTGCATACCTTTAAATATAATTTGATGTGTAAGTATTAACATATACATCATTACATTGTTTTCAATAAATAATTTATTTAAACGTTCGTTCAACCTCCAAATTCACTTCCAAAAGAAGTCGGATGATGCGCAGTTACCATCGACAAAGAATGCTGATTGTGTATTAGATCTACCACTCCAAGAAGACCGTTTACCGCCACTTCTCGTACCGGACTGTTGCCGGCCGTTGCGACAGTGACAGTCCTGATGATATCGGTTTGCGAGGGTGTAGCTTCTCTCGAGTTTTCGTTGACCAGCTGTTGAAGTGGGGAAGTGACCGACGTCGGTCCGTTCGCGACTGCTGTTGGTGTCGGAATGCTCTGCATACTATTTTCACTCAGCATACTGTTTTCGCTATTCTCGTCTAGTACTTCTGTCTTCAAATTGTCTGGAAGAATCAACTGAAGATTCGACGAAGATCGTCGATTCATTAGTGGATTTGTCACGAGCGCTGGTGGCGGCATCATAACGTCCGGAGGCGAGTTTGGAGGATGGCAATTGGAGGATTGCGAAGTCCACATCATCACGGGAGTGACCTGAGATGTTCCCGTCGGCGGTGAACTGGGATCACTTTTCAGAATCTCCGAAGAAGTATTTTGTTGCGGTTGAGTCGGAGGATTCGTCAAAAAACTCGCTGGTCCGGCAGTTGTTTGCGTTATTAAAGCTGATGAATATTGGATATGTTATTTTTAGCTTTTTTTATAACCAAAAAGTTTAATATAAATAAGAAATATCAATTAAAAAATTTACTGTTGGATGCTACAGCTGTAGCCAGTGGCACCGCGGTGGAAGATGTGACGAGAGCAGCATCACCATTTATCAGCGGAGGTGAGATGGACTCGACCTTGCCTACGGACGGTTGCGGGGGAGTGGAAGCCGCTGTGTAAAGAAAAGTGTGCGGTTCGCTAGTTTTTCCAGAAGACACCGCGTACATTTTGACGCTGACAGTTTCTGTAGGCGCTAGATCTTGTCTGCGATAGGCAGGCACTACGCACACCAAGTGCGCTGGATGTAGATATTCCTTATCCGGAAGCACAGTGCATTCCCAGTGTGGTTCCAGGCTGTTCGATATATTGTCGCTGTCCAGTTGAAAGACCACTCGAGTATCTTTCAGAAAATTCTTGCCCAGTATAATAAGTTCTAATCCTCCGGTACACGGGCAAGATGTCAATGATTTCTTGCAAATTTCCGGAATTCCAGGTGGTTGAGCTATAAATATAAAAGATTCTCTGTTTACTCTTCTATTCCTGAACATTTATAAATAAACGCAACTATTATCTTAGTTAACCTACTACAAACTATTGGCTGCGAGCAGACTTGCAACGTTTCTGTGGTTCCGTCGGCATGCGTGATAGACGTACGAAAAACCATACGACAGCGCGTGGATTTTTTCTTGCTTCTACCTTGAAGAAGGCCGGCTTCTTGAGGAAATCTATGCTCTACGTCGACATTGCGCTCCTTTAAAATGCCTACGCAGTCGCACGTAATATCTTTAGAGGGCTCTAAGTCGATTTCGATCACGATCGTGCCATCGATTTTTCGTTCCACGCAGGGTGTTGAGTTTTTGCCGCTCACCCGACAGGCCTGATAAAACATGTGAGGCAAAACTCGGCCCAGGTCAGTGCCAATGAATACTTGCAGGGTCGTCGGCTTGTCGTAACCGATCAGTCGAACAATAGGAAAACCGTTGCCACTGCGATCCTTCACTGCACCCCGCGAACCTTCCGTCTGATAACGCGCTCGATGCTGTTGCTCGGGTTGACAGACAATCTGCAGTTGTGTCTTACCATCGGTAGAAATGTTGGCTGGCGATCAAGAAAGAAAAAATAAACGAAATAAAGTTTAAAATATTTAAAAGTTAGATAATAATTTATGGTAGATGCACAGGTACGAGTAAATAGCAGGAATTTCTAGACTTTTAGACAGCGGAAAATGTTTATTATTGAATTGTTGGAGGAAAGCCAAACGAAGGCGGATATATTTGGAGCTTGATCCAACAGGAAACTAAACACTTAACAAATTAATAGAAATTCTTAACCGCATTTAGAAATCTGGAAGTTAATCTTGTTCTAAGAGACTCTAAATGAATTTTAATGCATTTTAATTCTTCACATAGACAATTAACTCTGAAAACTTCGACAAGCTACAAAATAATCTTTTTAAAAAAAATACAACAATTTTGAATTTCGAAGTTTCTGATATTGTGACGGGACAGCGACGATTCTAAAATATTTTAATACATGTATATTCTCATAATCTATTCTTATGTTGATCGTCTGTAAATAAACATGCATTGTTGCTGAGCACAGATTATATAATTTTATTTATAACCTATTTGTGTGACCTATATTTGATATGAAAAAAAAAAATGTCAAATTTTGCGTTAATATTAATGTGTTGTCTTCCTTTTGCTTATCACAGCGTGAAAGAGGCGCCAAACTGAAGGAGATAGCTTATCGGCTACGTAGACAAAATAAACAATTTCGCCGGAAATATATTCACCAAGAGTTTGGTCTTGTTGCAAAATATCGAAGGCGACAACGCGGCTTCTGAAACAATTGTTCATCTCTCCCTTCACTTTCTTGCAAAAAATAAAACAAACGTTTACAGAAACAGCCAGTTTTTATGCTTTATCAGATACTATAAAACCTTTCCGTTGCTGTTAGTCAAATCTAAACGCATACTATATTGATAAATAGAATGTGTATTTAAGATCTATTTGTTTGTTTTATTCACTTATAGAAAAAACAAAAAACTTTTCTAATTTCAATAATGTGCTTCAGTTTTAAGTAAACATCTAATGGATATATTAATTGGTGAAATAACACACTAAATATATAGTATACATATCCTTGTAATAAAAAGTAGAATAAAAACGTACATAATTGCGAGGTGAGGGTGACAGGTCCTTGATGAGCGATCGCTGCTCTTTTGGTCAGTACGCCCATAGCAGGTCGCGGTCTTGTAACCCCTATGACTCTGCTCACAGAGTTCGCGGATCCGGTTCTGGCACCGGATATCGCTCCCAAATTAATTCCATTTATAGCGGTTCTAGTGGACGTGGACTTATTTTCAGGATTGGTTCCGGGTGCCACTTCCGGAAATGCAAAGTTTGCGTCCTCGGATTCCAACTTGATATCCATTTTTCTCCTCTTTGAGTCTTCTTCGCCAACGCCGTTCCAAAGCTGTGGAATCGATTGTAGAATTGCTTAATTAAGTGTGATAAAATATTGTGTTAAATATTTACTAAGAAAGAGAAAAAATGCTATAGAATTTCTTGAGCAAGTAACAAGTGAAAAAAAAATTAGAACCTAAAAACACAAAGTACATATATATGAAATATACAAAATTTTAGAAGCGGCCAACTTAATAATAATTTTGCTTCCATCTTTTCGCATTGAGAAGTTTTACTTGGAAAAAATACTAGAGATTAACACGTTTTCGAATTAAAATGTTGAAGTTCTCTAACAAAATGTTTGAGTTCAACATAGTTTTGCGCGTGATCCTGGGAAAGAACTATTTCGAATGATCGATTGTAAAACGGGTCACCCCGTATGCGCGAGCGTCTGTATGCTTAATTTAACGAATCAGAGCTCGGCTGGGTTCAACTACCGTTCGAGCGGTCGGCGATCTCCGATGATGATATTGATGACGATCACGCGTACCCTCGTGAACACATTAAATAACTTCATCTGGCTTCTAGTCGCCTCTAACGACAGGGTGATGCTCAGGGCCGTAGCCGTAGCAAGAGTAAGTAAAGCACAAGGCCCGCAGAGGGGCCCGTCAACTCTTCCTCCTTCTTCTTCTTCACTTTCCCATCTTCCAGCAAAGAAAAAGAAAAACAAAGACAAGAAATATATTGGAAGCGACAGTCATTGGATTCGATTAGTAATTTGCGGAGTATTTCGAGAATTTTTCTCTCATTTAATTCTTGAAGAAATTATTATTCGATATACACACTTTCTTCTATACACAAACTTCCATCGTTCTTATAAATTTCTTGCGTTGTAAATAGGGGATATATTAAAAACAAGTTTACGGGCCCCTGAAATTTCTAGATATTAGATTTTAGAAAATATGCTCCCCCCTCTAATTTAGTTATTAAAATTTTATTATCTAAATGTTATATAGCTCTCTATATAAAACATAGCCAGATAAACTAGCAATGTAAATTAAGCTATTTTTTACAACAGCTTTATGTTTAATTATCAGCATTTATATTCGTTTTTAGTCGAGATGTATTTACGATTAAACGTTATCGCATATCTTTGAAAGATACTAACGTTGATGTTACTAAAATGTTGTTGACGTTCCTCAGATCCAAGGCCAGAATCGTTTGAGTTATCGTTATCCTGTGTCGTTCTAGAAGATCCGTGCTCATCCGAGTTTCTCACAGTGACACCACTAAAAGACGACAATGACGACAGTGATGGTCTAGATAGTGAGCTTTGTTTTTTTTGTTGTGATTGTTGTTCTTGTTGTTGCTGCTGCTGCTGCTGTTGGCGTTGCGGTTGCTGTTGCTGTCGTTGCGGATTTACTACCCTTTTAGTTACAGGGTGAGTGCGATTGGTTGCGGTGCTTCTCGATACGGACGATGCTGTCACCGTTGATGACGTTCCACCTGCGTTACCACCTATGAAGTGAAAATCATTTTCCTCATCACGTTATCGTAGCAATCGAATTGTTTATATGAGTGATCACGAGGCGAAATTATGAATATAAATAAATAACAGAGATAAACAGATACACAGGTAGATAAACATAATATATTTTCACATCAAAAAACCTCGAGAAAAATTTTCGCAATTGCCTTAGATTCTAACAGACAAAACCAGATAAAATCTTTACAGCTTCGTACGATCGTTAGATTCTTACAAATAATCAGAATCTTAAAAATTTCTTGGATCCTGAAATTCTCAGTCAGACTCTCATGAATCAGTAAATCCTCACAAATCAACGTATTGACTCCCATCGATCTTCCGTGTAACTTCGCTTCTTCCCCGAAACCGTACTTTGTAACTATCCAGATTGAATTCTTCTCTTATCTCTGAGATCCAAAGTGTCGTGAAAATCGTATTGTCAATAATATTGTTGTTCGATCAGCGGAATTGTACATCCTTGAGATTCCGAAACTCACTCTCCTTATCAGTAAAAAAAATCGAACTCCTTGGAACACTACCGACCATCACCATTGGACATAACATTGATAGACCACCTCGATTTACGCATTGAACATGAAGACTCCGCGTGTGCATCGTCGGGGAACGATAAAGAGGGAAAAATACGAAACACATGAGCCGGGCGAAAGAGGGACAAAAAGACAGAGACGATGAGCGTGAAAGAACGAAGAGAGGAAGCGAGAAGGGGGCAGAGCAATGTCGGATGGGTCTATCTATAGACCACCTCGACTATGGACGGGATAATTGCGTGGGGGTGAAGTTGCAATCGCGGACGCAACTGGTGGCGACTGGGGTTCGATTCTCCTCCTCCCCCAATCCTCCTTCTTCTCGCCCTCTTCCTCCTCCTCCTTCTGTCCCAGCGACCCGGCATAAGGGGGTGGATGCGTAATCGACGCATGCACACACGTGCATAAGGTGCATCTGTGTGAACATCGAGGAAAATCACAGGACGATGTCAACGACCCAGGCCGTCGGTTTGCAATCTCGTTTCTCTCGCTTTCTCGCTTTCGTCTCTTCCTCTCTGATGTTATTGTTGCTGTTATTTTGCCAATCATTACGTCAACATACACACTTATCTCCGTCGGTTCTTTTTTGTTCTTCACATACACAGTCAATTACCATTATGAAGATTACACAATTCAACAAAATATTAAAATACGAAGAAATTGCGAAGAATGATCGCTCGTTAGAGTTTGTCGAGGGTCGCAAATTTGACAAATTTAGAACTTGAACTGGTAAACAAAATTATTTTAACATATGAATCTATTCCACTATATTGTGTATTACTTATTGATGCGTTCACGTCAGTCAAAACAATATTTATCTCGAAAAAGAGAGTAATCGCTTTTCAAGATTGCAGCTTTGTGATGTTATGTTTCCAAAGTAAATCACATGACTTTTCGCTCGATTCCGTGTGAATCATCGATCGAAAAGTTGCATTCATTGAAAAAAAAAAAAAAAAAAAAAAAAA